AATTTGTCATGCCGCAACACCGTAACACTGCACCCTCAGGCGACAACCTTGACTCTGCAATCGCTCAGCGTCCTGCCATCGCCTGACACTGGAAGGTCTGGCCTCAGTGATGCAATCTGACACATGACACTGGCAAAAAACTGCTCTTGCAAGTCACTGCTATGACACCCTGCCGACATACCTATGGCATGTGACTCTAGCAGATTTTTAAAGTCAGCACCTTGAATCAGAACATGACTCTCTTCCTAGCTCTGGTTCATGCCGCATGACTCTCAGATGCTACCCTCAGACCCTGACACTGCTAGCGGCGAATGGGTCATGCCGCAACCAAATGACACTACACTCTGAAGCGATGACCCTGACTGCAATCGCCCAATGTCCTGCCATCGCTTGACACTGGAAGGTCGGGCCTCGGTGATGCAATGTGATATATTATGTGACACTGACAAAAACTGCTCTTGCAAGTCACTGCCATGACACTCTGCCGACCTACCTATGGCATCTGACTCTAGCAGATAGATGATAAGAACATGACTCTCATCCTAGCTCTCGGCGGCGAATGGTCCATGCCGCATGACTCTTTTAGATGCTACCCTCAGACCATGACACTGCTAGCGGCGAATGGGTCATGCCGCAACAACATGACACTACACCCTGGATGCCTCTGTGCTCTCAGGCGCTGACCCTGACTGCAATCGCTCGGTGTCCTGCCATCGCTTGACACTGGAAGGTCTGGCCTCAGTGATGCAATGTGATACATGTGACACTCACAAAACTGCTCTTGCAAGGCACTGCTATGACACTCTGCCGGCCTACCTATGGCATGTGACTCTAGCAGATTAATAGACGATAATTTAATTGAACAATATGACTCTCATCCTAGCTCTCGGCAGCGAATGGTCCATGCCGCATGACTCTCTCTTAGATGCTACACTCAAACCCTGACACTGCTAGCGGCGAATGGGTCATGCCGCAACAAAATGACACTGCACTCTGAAGCGATGATGACCCTGACTGCAATCGCCCAGTGCCCTGCCATCGCTTGACACTGGAAGGTCGGGCCTCGGTGATGCAATGTGATACATGTGACACTGATAATACAACTCTTGCAAGTCAGTGCTATGACACTCAGCCGACCTACCTATGGCATCTGACTCTAGCAGATAATAATAGACGATAAGAACATGACTCTCATCCTAGCTCTCGGCGGCGAATGGTCCATGCCGCATGACTCTCTTAGATTTTGCCCTCAAACCATGACACTGCTAGCGGCGAATTCGGTCATGCCGCAACAACATGACACTACACCCTGGATGCCTCTGTGCTCTCAGGCGCTGACCCTGACTGCAATCGCTCGGTGTCCTGCCATCGCTTGACACTGGAAGGTCTGGCCTCAGTGATGCAATGTGATACATGTGACACTCACAAAACTGCTCTTGCAAGTCACTGCTATGACACTCTGCCGGCCTACCTATGGCACGTGACTCTAGCAGATTAATAGACGATAATTGAACAATATGACTCTCATCCTAGCTCTCGGCAGCGAATGGTCCATGCCGCATGACTCTCTCTTAGGTGCTACACTCAAACCCTGACACTGCTAGCGGCGAATGGGTCATGCCGCAACCAAATGACACTACACTCTGAAGCGATGACCCTGACTGCAATCGCCCAATGTCCTGCCATCGCTTGACACTGGAAGGTCGGGCCTCGGTGATGCAATGTGATATATTATGTGACACTGACAAAAACTGCTCTTGCAAGTCACTGCCATGACACTCTGCCGACCTACCTATGGCATCTGACTCTAGCAGATAGATGATAAGAACATGACTCTCATCCTAGCTCTCGGCGGCGAATGGTCCATGCCGCATGACTCTTTTAGATGCTACCCTCAGACCATGACACTGCTAGCGGCGAATGGGTCATGCCGCAACAACATGACACTACACCCTGGATGCCTCTGTGCTCTCAGGCGCTGACCCTGACTGCAATCGCTCGGTGTCCTGCCATCGCTTGACACTGGAAGGTCTGGCCTCAGTGATGCAATGTGATACATGTGACACTCACAAAACTGCTCTTGCAAGGCACTGCTATGACACTCTGCCGGCCTACCTATGGCATGTGACTCTAGCAGATTAATAGACGATAATTTAATTGAACAATATGACTCTCATCCTAGCTCTCGGCAGCGAATGGTCCATGCCGCATGACTCTCTCTTAGATGCTACACTCAAACCCTGACACTGCTAGCGGCGAATGGGTCATGCCGCAACAAAATGACACTGCACTCTGAAGCGATGATGACCCTGACTGCAATCGCCCAGTGCCCTGCCATCGCTTGACACTGGAAGGTCGGGCCTCGGTGATGCAATGTGATACATGTGACACTGATAATACAACTCTTGCAAGTCAGTGCTATGACACTCAGCCGACCTACCTATGGCATCTGACTCTAGCAGATAATAATAGACGATAAGAACATGACTCTCATCCTAGCTCTCGGCGGCGAATGGTCCATGCCGCATGACTCTCTTAGATTTTGCCCTCAAACCATGACACTGCTAGCGGCGAATTCGGTCATGCCGCAACAACATGACACTACACCCTGGATGCCTCTGTGCTCTCAGGCGCTGACCCTGACTGCAATCGCTCGGTGTCCTGCCATCGCTTGACACTGGAAGGTCTGGCCTCAGTGATGCAATGTGATACATGTGACACTCACAAAACTGCTCTTGCAAGTCACTGCTATGACACTCTGCCGGCCTACCTATGGCACGTGACTCTAGCAGATTAATAGACGATAATTGAACAATATGACTCTCATCCTAGCTCTCGGCAGCGAATGGTCCATGCCGCATGACTCTCTCTTAGATGCTACACTCAAACCCTGACACTGCTAGCGGCGAATGGGTCATGCCGCAACCAAATGACACTACACTCTGAAGCGATGACCCTGACTGCAATCGCCCAATGTCCTGCCATCGCTTGACACTGGAAGGTCGGGCCTCGGTGATGCAATGTGATATATTATGTGACACTGACAAAAACTGCTCTTGCAAGTCACTGCCATGACACTCTGCCGACCTACCTATGGCATCTGACTCTAGCAGATAGATGATAAGAACATGACTCTCATCCTAGCTCTCGGCGGCGAATGGTCCATGCCGCATGACTCTTTTAGATGCTACCCTCAGACCATGACACTGCTAGCGGCGAATGGGTCATGCCGCAACAACATGACACTACACCCTGGATGCCTCTGTGCTCTCAGGCGCTGACCCTGACTGCAATCGCTCGGTGTCCTGCCATCGCTTGACACTGGAATGTCTGGCCTCAGTGATGCAATGTGATGCATGTGACACTCACAAACTGCTCTTGCAAGTCACTGCTGTGACACTCTTGGCATGTGACTCTAGCAGCTTAGATGATGATTGAACATGACTCTCATCCTAGCTCTCGGCGGCGAATGGTCCATGCCGCATGACTCTCTCTTAGATGCTACACTCAAACCCTGACACTGCTAGTGGCGAATGGGTCATGCCGCAACAAAATGACACTGCACTCTGAAGCGATGACCCCGACTGCTATCGCCCAGTGTCCTGCCATCGCTTGACACTGGAAGGTCGGGCCTCGGTGATGCAATGTGTTTAATTATTATATTAAATTGAAATTATTATTGTTATATGTGACACTGACAAAAACTGCTCTTGCAAGTCACTGCTATGACACTCTGCCGACCTACCTATGGCATCATTTATTGAATAATATTTATTTATTATAATTAAATTTAAATATTAAACTAAATATGTCATTTAATTATTAAAATAGACGACGACGAAAATAATCATTGAACAACATGACTCTCATCCTAGCTCTCGGCGGCGAATGGTCCATGCCGCATGACTCTTTCTTAGATTAGATGCTACACTCAAACCCTGACACTGCTAGCGGCGAATGGGTCATGCCGCACAAAATGACACTGCACTCCGGATGCATCTGCGCTCTCAGGCGATGACCCTGACTGCAATCGCTCAGTGTCCTGCCATCGCTTGACACTGGAAGGTCTGGCCTCGGTGATGCAATGTGGTACCTGACACTGACAAACTGCTCTTGCAAGTCACTGCTATGACACTCTGCCGACCTACCTATGGCATCTGACTCTAGCAGACGATAAGAACATGACTCTCATCCTAGCTCTCGGCGGCGAATGGTCCATGCCGCATGACTCTCTCTTAGATGCTACCCTCAGACCCTGACCCTGCTAGCGGCGAATGGGTCTTGCCGCAGCGGCGAATGGGTTTGCCGCAAACACCAGCATGACTCTGCACTCTAGGGCTCCACGCTGACACTCGAGGTGATCCACGGTGAGGGCGATGTTCACATGAGAAGCTTGCTGACACTCGAAGCGAATTGTCAGTGGTAAATTACCACTGACAATTCGTTTCGAGTGGCAGCTTGAGCTAACGTGGCTTATGGTTGTTTGACACTACAAACTTATGGTTGTTTGACACTACAAACCATACAATCAATCGTTGTATACCAAGACCCAGCAAAACCACAGAAATTAAAAACACTCCGAAAGCACAGCCCAGTTTAGTTCAACTATAGGAGAACATGCATGGCTAGTTCTCCAACTGCAGGGTCGCTGATACTAGTTTGGAGACCTGAAAAGGGACCCTGATTCAGAGGCTCTTGCAGAGCAATCCCAAACCCTAAACCTCACTGCTAGACGGACGAAGGCGTTCAACAAGAACAGGCTTTTAGGGTAAGTTATAGTGATTATAGTGTATTAAGATCAGGAACTCTCAAGAATAGTATGGGTAATCATTTAGGCCCCTATAGTGGCTGCCTGGCTCCCATAACATAACTTTTGGGCGTGGGGCTTCGGCCTAGAAGTACCGCCAAAAAACCTTACTTTTTTGCGGTTCCTTAGTTTTATACTAAGGAACCGCAAAAAAGTAAGGTTTTCGGGGTTGAGGTGGGTCCTAAGTCCCTGCCTGGGCGACCACCTCTCTTGATGCAAGGTATCCTGGAGGGGACGGCGGAAGCCGGGAGCTTAGAATGGGCTTCAGACATTCAGCTCCTTTCGGATTTTGCATGAGCCTTCATCCTTTATCCCTAAGCCGCCACGACACCCACAACGAAACCCTTAGAGTAAGCCTTATAACAGACGTGTACAGCGTTCCTCAGAGCAGCCCTTAGCCCTAAGTTTGGGGTTTGGAGCTGCCTCCATCTTCGTTTGCGGGATGGGCTGGGCTCGTTCCGATTTGGTGTAATCTAGAGTTTAAGGCTTTCGTCTCCCGGCTCAGGGCTCACAATTTTGAATAAACGGCTCCGGCTTTCGATGTCTCGTTTTTCTATCCGGAGATGAATCCTCAAGACAGGAAAGGGGAAGTTGCCCTAACCTCAGAATTCTTGCCAACCCTCCATAGCAACCCTTCATAACCCCTGCAACCCCCACGCGTTCATGCAGCTTGCCTTGAGCCAAACTGAGGTAGATGTAGACCACTCTTCCCTAAGGCTGCTATAAACCATGTATGTATGTATGTATGTATGTATGTATGTATGTATGTATGTATATATATATATATATATATTTATATATGTGTATATATATATATATATATATGTATGTATGTATGTACGTATGTATGTACATATATATATATATATATATATATGGTATAACATGTGTGTATATATATATATATACATGAAGCCCCTTATACTTCAAGGTGTATTCCCTAAATAAACGCAAATTGGAGTCTCGCCCCAACCAAGAACCCGCACCCCTCAAACACAAAGAAACCTCGAAGCCTCTCCACGGAAAGCTGATGCCCCAAAACCCGAAGCCCCTCAACCTTAGGGGTTACTATAAGGGATCCATAATAAGGGATCTATAATAAGGGTACTATAATAATAATAATAGGAATACTTACCTTTGGTTAGTAGGGAATGGTAGTAATAGTAGTTATATGTAATTGTACCCCATTCCTACTAACCAAAGGTAAGTCACCCCAAACCTTGAACCTCGAGCCCAGCCCGACGCCCTAAACCCTCAAAGGCCTACATCTTTAAGCTTCTTTGTCAAGGCTTTTTTGGGCGGTTATGGTAAACCCCGAACCTATACTCCAAAACTGAGACCCTACGGCCTACGGCTGATGATATAAATCCTGCATTACCCATAATAAGGAATATACACCAATTCCCATAGTGTAGAGTCCTTAAGGTAATGCAGGATTTATATCATCAACCGTAGTAGCCTTTAAGCCCCAAAACCTGCAAAACCTGTAATCTTCCCAGAGCCGAGTCGCGGAAAACACCTGCGATGCCGCTGCTCTCCAACCTCTTGTCTGACTTGTGGATCATAGGCCCCCCCAAAAAAGCACGTTTTATAAACCCTACTTGTGGATCAGAGGGCACCAAAAAAAGGCACATAAGCAAAACTTAGGATAGCGATATCCCACATAAACCCTCGTATAAAGTAGTCCAATAGGGTAGTGACATCCCTGTAAAGTGCTTCTGCTTATGTCCGTTCTGGGTCCCTGAGATCAGGCTGCTGCAGGGGCTTTTATAAGTGGGTACCATAATGGCTTCTGTAAGGCTGTAAGGGCTACAGCAACGATAGCTATAAGGGGTACTAAAAGGGTCACTGTGGAGGCACTATAATGGCTACTATGCAAGTGGGGTTTAGAGCTTCGGGAAATAATAGCTTCAAGGGTTTGGGGCTTCGGGGTTTGGGTTTCCAGGGTTTGGAGATTCTTGGGATTGGCGATTTTGACGGGTGTTGTATGGCAAAGTTTAACGGGTCCGTAAGGTTTTGAGTTTTGAGGCTTTGGAGCCCTAAACCCTCAACCCTACACCCTGCAACAGCATGTACTCCTGGTTGCAACACTACTTAAAACTGTACCAAGAAACCCTCGGCACTAGGCTTCCAACAAGAACCCCGAAACCCGCACCCCAAAACCCTAAGTAGCCCTAAACCCAACCCAACCCCCAACAAGAACCCCAAAACCCACAATAGCCCTAAACCCAACCCAACCCCCAACAAGAACTCCAAAACCCACAGCCCAAAACCATGAATAGCCCTGAACCCAACTCTGAGGCAGCGGAGCCTCCCGAAGCCAAGGGCGTTCAGGCCCTCCTCGAACTCCGCGGCTCGGAGGGCACCTGCACAGGTGACTTTGGGACCTATGGAGCTTAGTATAACAGATATAAGACAAGTAGTACAGTACTAATACATAAGAATGGCAGTGGTAGTAATATTCGTAACAATCACAATGAGAATAAGAATAAGAAGAATAAACCAATAACGAGTTATTATCATAACAAAAATGGCAACAGTGACAGTGAAAACACTACTAAACATGATAATAGTAATAGTAAAAGTCATGGTAATAGGGTTGGAGTTGGTTGGATTAGGGCCATAGGGCTGGGAGTTGAAAGGTTTCAAGTTTCAGGGTAGAAGGCCTTGACGCTCTTGGGGTTTAGGGTTTAAGCTTCGGGCTTTGGGCTTCTTGTTTTAGGACCCTTTTCCGTCTCGCTGGGATCCAGAAAGTGAAGATATCACTGGGCCTTTGGCAAAGCTTTGATACATGCCTGACCTGAAAAGAACTCAGTACACTCAGACGTCACCCTGCGTATTCCACCACATCCGAACTGTCTCCAGGGCTTTAGGATTACGGATCGTAGTATTCCATGGTTTAGGGCTGTGGGATGCAAACGAAGTGCTGCCTACAAAGGCCATCTTCAGAAATCTTCTCGCTGGTATACCTTCCCAATCTAGCCTAGATTCCTAGATTTGGGAGTGAGAGAAGGCTCGTGGGTTTTGGGTTTGGGGGTTTGGGGCGAAACCCCAAACTCTGGCGCTCTCCATCTTCCCGCCCGTGGTAACCCCCAAACCGGAACCCTGCAGGGTCCGAACACAGAAGGTCATGACGTAAAGCCCCAAAACCCTTATGAAACCCCCAAAGCCGAAAGATCCTAGGCCCTAAACCGTAAAGCCCAAAACCCATGAACCCAAAGTCCCAGAAGGACCGCAACACCCTGCCACAGAACCTCCTTGGCCTTAGCCTGAGCCCCTCCTCCTGGCCCCGGAACCTTATGGCCGAACCTTTCGGGGCAAAGGTCCTGTCAAATAGTATGTTAATATATATATATATACATATATAACTAACTACTTAAATATAAATAGTTAACTATATAGTTATATATGAAATATGTTACACCGGTAGTTGTGTTGTATTGAAGGGTCATATCTTACATTCTGTCGTGATATGCTATCTTATCTTTTTTATGCTGTTCTATCTTACTGGGTCGCTTCTATCATAAGAGCCAGGGCCTCAAGGGGTTAGGATTTCAGAGCTAGCAGTCCCTGATGGACGGTTCGGGGCTTCTTCGTCGACTCCGGCCTGCTGTCTGCAAGCCGTCCGGGACGCTCTTGCAAATCTGCTGAAAAGCCTCGCGCCAAGTTTAGGAAGCCCGTCAGGGGTCAGTTGCAGGGTTCTCTGTGCCGGCTCCGTTTTACGTACTTAGAGCCTTCGAAGAGGCAGCTGCAACTGCCGATCTTGCAGCAAAGGATGCCAGAAGGTGCCATGGTCGGCTCCAAAGTTTTTTAAGCTCTCGCGACATTTGCTCTAACTTCGACAAAGGAATGACACAGCTCCCGGTTAGATCCACTTCCTGCGCCCTGAAGCCTATCTTGGAAGCTGGCCTTCGTCATGTCAGGATATCGCATGATCAGCCATTCCACCTTAGGTAGTTCAGGCAGGGTCTGCTATATGGGAGTTTCCGAAAATAGGGGACCCTAATATAGTACCCTAAATAGTAGGATCCTTATTATAAGGACCCTTAAATAAGGTACCCCAATGTTCGGAAACTCCCATATCGATCGAGGCTCCAGATCTGGCGTCAGTTGCTCGGGGTTTCGGGCGGCTGTGGGAACTTAGAGGCTGCGTGGCCGAGTTTCGAGTTTCTGACGCCCCAAGTGGAATTTGGGTTTAGGGTTTAGGGTTCAGGAGAATCCTGAATTTATTCACCAGCGAAATAATCCGTTGGGGAAGTCCATGCCGTACGGGCCAAACCGTAGTCGCCCCAGACCTGTCCCAACCCTACTTTGACCGTTATGACACTTTACTAGGTGTCGAGTTCAATAATCCCCAAACGTGATAATACTTACAGGGCTCTAGATTAAACCATAAAGGGAAACTGAAAACTATCCCAAATCGATACCTAGTTTGAGGTAGGCCCACCCTAAGCTTAAATCCTAAGTACCTTAAGCAACAACCACGTAAAACGCTGAGCTCAAACCCCAAGTGCATGTTTTCAATTCAACAAACTCGAAGGACCCTAAGGCCTACAGCCACGACAATTAAGATGCCACCCAACACCGAAGCTGGCCCTCGAGCTCCAATAAATACACGGGGTTTAAGGGTATATATAGGGCTTGAGGGTCCGCCGACCCTGGCGGCGTGTTGGATGGGTCTCGATGGGTTTGGAGGTGTTAACCTCCCTTTTTCCCTCCTCCCCAACCAAAATCCCGCACACCGGGCGCCCCCTGCGGGGGGGGGGGGGGTACCCCATGGCTGTTTGCAAGCAGCACCCAAGCCCCCAGAAGCATCACACCGCAGCCCATTGGGTTCAAATCAGTTCACTCTAGGAAAACCATCAATTTTTTTCGCCTCCCCTCCCCTCCCCCCTCCCTCCCCCCCTCCCCCCCCTTCCCCCCTCCCCCTCCCGTTTGAGGGGGCTGAAGTTGGAGGGTCAGTGTGTAGGGGTTGAGGGTTTAAGGTCGGGGTTTAGGGTTGCGGGGTAGGGTTTGGGGTTTAGGGTTTAAGGTTCAACCTTCGGGGCCAAGAAGTGGCTTCGTGTAAGCCGTGGCCCCAAACTGCTTCCCACATCCCTGGTCCCCACATAGCTCCTGTACAGATGCAGTCGGCTTCTGCTTTGTCGCCCACGGGGTCGGCGGCTTGAGCCGGAGGCTCTTAAATCGGGCAGCGCTTCGCTGCCCTGTATGGACTGAGCTATGGCTCAGACGAATGAGCTTCGTCTGCGAAGCAGAAGCCACGACCGACAGTGCCGCCGACCCGCCCCGGACCCCGCATCATCGGACCCTCGTTTCTCCCTCGGGCCGCGCGGGGCCTGGCCCGAAGGCGTCTCGGAACGCGCACGCGTTTTGCAGCCATTCCCCGCGGTGTGGCGGGTTTCGGGGCCGCCGTGGACGACCCCAGGAGGCGAGCCGGCGAGCATCATGAGCCCTCGGGCGCCCGCAACCGGCGCCGGCGGCGCGACGTGGGCGCGAAGTCATAACTCCCAAGTTTTTGAGTGGGTTGCGGAAGCCGCCAAAGGGCGCGCATCATGAGCATCAGCGGGGTCCGGCGGACGGGGGGTGCGGGCTACATGCAGGGCCGACGGGGGCTGAGAGCCTACGATCACCCACAAGTTGCGCACTTCGGGCCTACGTTGCACTTATCTATATACCGCGGGTTTCTGACAACAGCTCGCGCTGCCCGCACCTGGGCGCAGCCCCTAAATTTCCTGAAGCAGAACTTAACATGTTTTGGAGAACTTTGGGGACAAGTATTGGCGACAAAGGTGTCGAACAAAATGTTGTCCTGATTCATCTTATGTACCTTCTACTGCAGTGGGTACTTGACAGGAACCTACTACACTGCATGCAAAGCTTTCAAGTTCTGCAACATCTGATGGACAACTCACCACGCGTGCACGAAGGAGCTCTCAAGGCAAAGAGGTGGCACAGGTATGGGTATTTGTGCATGCACCCCGGAGCCAGTGCCCGGAAACCGTCTTGAACCCCACACCCGAATCGCTATGCAGCTCTCTTGCAAAGTTGCCATTGCATCTGCTGCCAAGATGCCAAGGGAGTGACTTCTTCTGGCTCCTCCACTTGGGTGGTTGTCAAAATTATGGTCCCTGTTTGGGTCCCTATGATAATACGGCACCTATTATTTAGGGTTCCCAACAAGGGACCATAATTTTGACAGCCACTCACTGTGTAAGTGTGGCTTTCAACGTGGCGCGCTCTCCTACACTAGGGTCAGTCATGGGTCCTCGACAGACGGCGTCATGCTTGACATAAAGATGCACAGCAGGTCCGTTGGTTAGAGCAGTACCCACATAGGACGCATAGGATTCAATCCTGTAGGTCGCAGGATATTGGTGGATATTCGGAGCCTTTCAGAGATTGGAAAGTCTTGCGCTAGAACTTGCAGACCTTGGCTTGGCAAACCTAAAACGAATGCGCTTCCCATGCCCCCCCCATACGTGCAAAACTCCTTGGACCCTCCCCTCCCAGCCTCAAAGGGCTTCGCGGCCCAGGAAATCCGATCTTCGGAGAGTGCCACTTGCCTGCCGGGCAAGAGTCTTGCCTCTTGGGTCTAGATTTATTGGTGGATGTCAGTCTCTCTGGAACTTGTGGGCTGCAAGGCGACAGGGTCCGGAGTTAGGAACGTATGCGAAGCTCTGATGTACTCAGACTACGTATATAGGGCGTGAATAATTGACAATACTATTTTTTGGAGGTTCCGTATTTTAATTGTCGTATGATGGCCCCCAAACCCTGTTCTAAGTATTAAGGCCCCTGTACCAGGTTCTCTGCTTCGAAAGGTGGAGCTTCGTCTTCGAGGTTGCAGAACAACTTGGCCCATATCGGAGTTTCCGAAAATTAGGGGTATCTTATTTTGGGGTCCTTATAATAAGGATGTTACTATTTAGGGTACTATATAAGGTCACCCATTTTCGGAAACTCCCATATCCGTCGCTTGGCGGCTAAGCCCTAACGCCTTACCTTACAAAACCCCGGGGGGGGTTGAGCCAGAAAGCCCCCAGACCCCGAACTCTACGTGCCCGATGACCACCGGAACTCCTCAGGACTCAACTGCCAGAGTCCTAAAGTAATGTAGGGGCCTTAATAATTAGAAGCGGGTTTTGGGGCACATTATACTATATACTTATAATAAGGAACCTCCAAATAGTGTTGGAAATTATTAGGCCCACTATATTACAAGCCAGAAAGTTGGAACATTACTATCCTCATGCCCCTAAGGAAAAGTAGAGGGAATCCTAGGAACATTATTATCCTCATGCCCCTAAGGTAAAGTAGAGGGAATCCTAGGAACATTATTATCCTCATGCCCCTAAGGTAAAGTAGAGGGAATCCTAGGAACATTATTATCCTCATGCCCCTAAGGTAAAGTAGAGGGAATCCTAGGAACATTATTATCCTCATGCCCCTAAGGTAAAGTAGAGGGAATCCTAGGAACATTATTATCCTCATGCCCCTAAGGTAAAGTAGAGGGAATCCTAGGAACATTATTATCCTCATGCCCCTAAGGTAAAGTAGAGGGAATCCTAGGAACATTATTATCCTCATGCCCCTAAGTTACACTTCCAGCTTTCTGGGGCTCACCATAAGGCCCAAGGCCCTGTGGTGCACATCCTGCTGGGCTGACTCTACCACAGCTCCCATCCTGGAGCACTGAGGCCCCCCAGGGCCACAGGCTTTAGGGTTTCGGGGTTTCGGGTTTAGGGGTTTAGGGTTCAGGGTAGAGGAATCGAGGGATCTTTCGGAAATGATGAAAAAAAGCACCGACCATGAAGCCCCAAGAACATGCAAAGAGAATCTAAGTTTTGGATATTTGGGTGGAAGAGTTCAGGGTCTCACGTTCAAAACATATCATCCCCAGCGGCACAGTTCAGCACCCATGAACCCTAATGCAGGAACCTGATTAAGAAACCTTGGGCCTGCGTTATTATACTGAACTTAGAACCCTGGCAAAAATATTAGTTGTAGCTGTTTCTGAGGGATTATAATAACCAAAAATTATTTCTAAGTACCCCTAAGATAAGGGTTCCTGAAATGAATCCTAACATTTTTGGTGTTATAGGCCCAGGCTTTCTTATTCAGGTTCCTACATCAGATTCAGCCCAAACCTCAACCCTAGGGTTTAGGAGAACCCAGGCGCCCCGGCCAGTAGCCCCACATCTCCAGCAGCTGCTTCCGGCACTTCAAGCTCCGTGTGCTGGGGGAGCCCATGTACTTGCCTGGTGCTTAAAGCTTAGGGAAGGCTTTGGGCTTACCTAGATCCCCCAACTGCACTCTACAAAACCCCAAATTACGGGCTCTCTTAAAGGATATGGGTTTCGGGCTTATGGGCCCTTACCCCTAAACCGGTCTTCGAGCTTATTTACATACAGCCACGAAGACTGAAATCCTAGTGCTTGGGGATCTTCGGGTGTTGCCCCAAGGGTCCAAGTCCCTCATAATCATATACTCTCCCAAATAGTAACCTACATAACCTAATTATTATGCACCCATATAGCCCATTATAGGGTAGGGGTCCCCATTAAGGGTCCCTCCTTTTCCCCTTTGAATAACTACTATCCGAAACCTAAGTAGCTAATTATTGGGTCCTTTGGACCCTCCTTAGGGTTGGGGCCTGGGCTAGTGTTTTGAATAGGGGACCCGCATATGGGACCCCAAGTAGTAGGAGGAAATGTGTAATTTTAAAGGGACCCCCAACATACGGTACCCCTCATTTTGGGAAACTCCCACATAGGGTTGAAGACTTGGATACTCTGCACCTATCCTGAAGATGGAACTTGTGCATAACATGATGTCAGTGGGATCACAGCCAACGACTCTGGACGACGAGGCAGTCTTAAGAATCGTGGCTTTGCTCTGCTCGAACATGAGCATGCAGAGAACACTAGCTCGTGAAGAAGTCAGAATAGCTTTGCTGTTGGCTGCTCCAATTTCTCTTGTTGCTGTAACTATTTGGCTCACCCGACATGCCCTGGAAAGCCACCCCGCCAAACACAAATCCTAAACCCTCAAATTCAACCGAACCCCAAGCCTCAAACTCTAAACCCCCAAATCCCGGAACCCTGCATCAACCCTACCTACGCTGTCCTATGTACCATCGTGCCTGGTGGGCACCCCAAAACAGGCGATTGGGAACTCCAAGCTCTGGAAACCCAAAATCTGTGTAGTGTTCAGAATTAGGGCTCGCTTTTAGGTCCCCAAACTCATCCGGCACCCTTGTAAAACAGGGCCCTAGAAGGACCTTGCTTTAGAGGACTACCCATCTACTAACCCTAACTCAAACTCAAACCCGAAACTGAAGCCTTAAAACCACCAACTCCAGAGTAGACTCAATCCCCAAACCATGACCTACTTGAAGGCTCATGGGACTTAGCAAGTATGGTTATAAGTAGGTTATAGTTAGGATAACCCCACTTAGGGGACTTATAGCCCCAATTATAACCTACTTACTAAGTCCCCTGATCCTCTAAGTAGCCCCTATAATTCCTGCGCGAAACCCAAAGACACTAAACTTTACCGGCATACCCAATACCCAATCCGTACTGTCCATAAACCCTAAAAAACCCCCAGAAGCTCTCAAACCCCAAGCTCTGGAAGCCCAACAGAGGACCCTCCAAAGCGAGACCCAGCCTCGGAAGAGGCCGCGCCTCGAAGTGTTACTTCGCTCTTATGTATATGGGAGTTTCCGAAAATTAGGGTACCTTTTTTTGGGGTCCTTATAATAAGGATCTTACTATTTAGAGTACTATATTAGGGTCCCCTATTTTCGGAAACTCCCATGTGTGCGTCTATGTTTGCAGCTCCAGGTTTGCAAGTGGGAGGGTTTGAGGGTGTGAGGGCTCAAGCCTTCGGCTACAGCGTTCTGGGGATCATGGGTTAAGATGCTCTGGCTTCCACATACGGTTCTCTGACCCTTTACCATGATGGCCGTCATCATCTTTGGCATCGTGCCGCGACCCGTGTTGTGGCGATTCTACCACGAAGGCGGTGCTGTTTTAATGTAGGTTCTCGAATGCCAGCTCGACCCTAAACCCTAAACCCAAAGACCCTAAGACCCGCACAAAAACAGCTGAATCCGAAACGCCAAGCACCCCACACTTCTGGAGGTTGGCAAGAGGCCGTGGTGACACTGGGGGTTTAGGGGTTTAGGGCACCTTGGAGTTCCGGATCACCCCTGTAGTTTAGAATGGGGTTTAAGGTTCAAGGTGAGGCGGCATCCGAAAACATTCGGCTGTGTTCAGAAAGCAAGTCTAGCCCGGTGCAGAGAGAGAGGGTGAAGCTAGGAATATCTAGCAAGCAGCAAGGACACGAGACAAGTAGCATCGCGAGTATTGCTGTGTGCGGCTCTTGCCGCGAGTCTTTCGTCTTCTCGCACTAGATGTATGGTGAATTGCTATCAGAAGCTGAGGCATGCGGCGTTGGCATGGAGTCCAGGCTGACCTGTGCCAGGAGCTCCGGGTAATGCTTGCGACGAAGGGCTAGGTTGAAGGTACAAACTGCGAGGTGTGGGGTTCAGTCCTCAAGTTAAATACCCAGTAGAGTTTCACAGGAACATCTGCAACTTGAAGTCCATCATGCTTTTAAGTGCTGGAAACGCGTCATAAGTTCGCAATGACGTTTTCAGTGAATTTGGATGCCCATCTCCGCCTGCAACCTTGCACTCCGTGCAAAGGCTACTGAGGCCCAACCGGTGTCACTTGGGCTTAACCCGAGCGACTACTCCGCTCTGCGCTTGCGACCCTGCACTCCACGCCAGGACTCGCTAAGCTGCAGTGCGGTCGACAGGACATCGTCCTTCGAAAGACAGGACTATGCACTTGCGAGCATTTTGCTCGCATAGACTCTAGTCACTCTAGTAATGACTTGAGCGAGAAAGCTAGGCGCGCGGCACTCGTTGCCACATGGAGTACCTCGTCAGGCTTCTACACCGCCACTTCTTCGGCGGGAGCGGCCTTGGTTTCTTCAGCGGCCTTGGTCGCAGGGCCATGGAACATGCCACCGTGCTCCGCCCAGTAGTAGCAAGGGCTGAGCAATGCCCAGAACATGACATAGCCAGCATGCACTTGGAAAGGGATCATCAATCGGCCGGTAGAAGCAGAAGCCTGCAATGACAGCTCCCAAATTCCCTCCAGCCCCAACGAGGGCAGACACGACGGCTAGTTGGGGCCGGTTCATGAAAGGCACGATGCCGTAGCTGGTTCCCTCCGCCATCTGGACAAACAAGGAGAAGCACACAAGCACGGCCAAGGCCACGTACCAAGGCTGAGAGTTGTCCACCAAGCATCATCATTTGCTGTACGTGCAGGAACCTGACTGGGCCGAGGCCATTGGGTTTGTAACCTGCACCTGCATTTATGCAGCGGCGCAGCTTTGCAAAGCTGCGGCAAGTAACAAGAACTGTTACAGGAAAAGGCCGGCGCACCTGATCATCTAGGACAAGGGGGAAAAGCGAGGGCAGCAAAAACCCCTGGCAAGCCAGGCCTAAACCAAAAAGGGGGGGGAAGGCAGAAACCTAAACCCGAAAGGCAGAGCCTAAACCGAAAAGGCAAAGGTCACGGCAAACAAGTCAAGGCTCATGTGGGACCAGTAACCTCCTCGGCCAAAGGTACTATTACTAGGCCTAAAGAACAGGCAGCAATTTGCATGCGCACGCGGGTGACAGCACACTGGGAAGCACTCATAGTGATCCACCCAGTCTTGCTCGTGCAACGCGGGACGGAAGTCCAAAAGGCCGGCGCTGGGCCGTATTGCTGCTGCAAACGACGCCGATCCGCGTCTAGGCGGGGACACTCCTGAAAAAGGTGCCTCGAGGAAGCCACAGCGTGGCCACACGAGCACTGACAAGCGGCGCGGCCATGATTCCAGTAGCGGCAAGATTTGGTCTTCACTGCACCACCTCGGAAAATGTCAAGATTTGTGCGGGCGGCCGCACTCAGCTTGCTGCGCCAGTGCTTCCACTGCGGGTGACTCTGGGCCTCGAGGTCTATAGCCGAAGCAAAAGAGGAAGATTGCTTCAAAGAAGAGAGACAAGAATTGCGCCCAGATGCGGCCGCGGAATCCCATGTACTTGAAGAGGATGTCGCTGGTGATTCCACCCAAGGACCTGGCAAAGAGAATCATGGTAAAGTCGTTTCGAACTGACTGGCCAACGGCGAACAGGCAGTACAAGACTACAAGAGCTCAATCACTGAAGCAAACCCTTGAGGTGATTAGCCAACACCAGCCTGGCAAAGAGATTCATAAGGCCAAATGCCCTTGCCAGGGCAGAGGCATCTGCCGCATCCATCTGGAAGTAGGTCCTGAAGTGCGTGGCCAACTGGTTGTTCATCGCCAGCTCCGTGCGAATACTTGGCCGACATGGCACCTGAAGATGCCATTGCCGTGATGAAGCGGGGTAACTCCCGCCTCCCTCGGGCCTAGGCGTACCTAGGTGTGTGAAGCGCGGCACGCTGCGCAGCCTCACAGACGAAAGCGAAAGTTGCAATGTGCACATGGCCAACAAGGGGGGACTAAACCCACCTAAGGGCAGCAAGAACCGGAGGGAAACCCCAAAGCCAACACCCTACGGGAGGGGAGCATAAACCTTATCGAGCACTGCCTGTCTGACAGCGGCAAGGTGGCGTAGCACAGCAGTGCCGTACACCACGTCGTGATGCTGCATCCAGCCGAAGCGGCGCTGCAGGGCACAGGCTGGAGTGGGGGGCCTACTCGGGAGGAAATGAGGGCACTGCCAAGCAAGATGGTGCCAACAAGGCACCGCATCCGTGTTACACCAACAGCACCTGCCCACAGCCTGCCGACGCATGGCTCTCTGCATGGCAAGTGAACAGGCAGCGCCCGTCAAGATGCCGCGAAAATGCTCTATCGGTTGGCGGAACGCTGCCGAAGTGCGTTTGACGGTCTGTTCACAGTAGATTGGCACCGGAATGCCTTCAAGTTCATGACGGCCTTGGTCCAAGAATTTGGCAAACTGAGCCCGGCGCCATGACTCGCGGATGCGATGGTCAGTATCGGGGCGTGGGGGCCTACTCATATCAAGACAGCCGCATGCCGGGTGTTGCCACTTCCACGGTGCGTCAGTGCACCACCCGAGCTGCAAGAGCCAGTGGCGGACTTCTCCTTGCCAGGTGTTTTTCCTGACAGAAATCTCCCAGAGCATAGGACGCTTCAGGAGGGCTCGCCAAAGAGCCTTGGCAGCTTGAAATCCCGCACGAAACTCGTGACTTTGACTCGGTCCTTCAAACAGCGAGGTGAGCCAGGGCGAGGCTAGGGACGGTCTGCGGGTAACCCTCTTATAAAGAGAAGAAAACCTAGTGATCTCGTCATCCCGTGGCAAGCGAAGGCCCCGACCCCAGGAGATCTTGCTCAGAACCCGGGAAGACCAGAGCTTGCGTTTGACATGCAGTGAAGCAGGCATGCGCATGAGCCGAGCAGCTATGGCCGTGCCCTCCTCGTTGACGCCAGCTCCGTGCCGAAACAAGCCGAGTACCTGGTTGGCAACAAACGAGGCAAAACACATCATCCATCATCCATGCAGAAAGCTTTGACTGGTTCGGGTTACTCTCTTGCGAAGCACTTGGCTAAATGAACGCCTGTTTGCAGCTTGGCCACTGCATGATCATGACAAGTACCTTGAAGTCCGAGCACACTTCAACGTAGTCCCACATGGATGGCTTCTTAGTCTTGCCCGTCACGGACACGTCGAACCTCTTTGCGGTGGGGGTGTCCCAGCACAACAGCTTCAAGCACGCCGCCGTGATGATAAAGAGAACTGCCGGCACGATCATGGACGCTCGCCAGGCTGTGTCAGCTGCCATTCCCGAGCTCACCATGGGGTTGAACGGACTGAAATCATGAAGATCTGCGTGACACCTCCGCCCAGATTTCCCCATCCGGCTGCTGTAGCGTTCGCAGTTCCAATCACATTGGGTGCGAACATCAAGGAGCACCAGAACTGGTTGGTCACGAAAGTGGCTCCTTCCCAGGGGGCATTAGGGGGCTTAGTAATGTCCATGGGGCACTGCAACGCATAGAAATGGGTCCTGCGCAACCGATGAAGAAGCGAATGAGCGCATAATTCCAGGGAGCGGAAATGGCCGCTGCCATAGCCACCCAAAACGCTCCGAAAGTGAGCAGGCTGGCTTGCACGTTCACTGGGCCGAAGCGCTCGAGGAGGGTGCCGAGAGCGATTCGAACGAAGATGGTGGAAGCGACAGCGGCGACGCCTGCATTTGCTATCATGCCGTTGCACTCGGTTCCCGTGGTGCACACACATTTGGCCAGGACTGAAGGCGCATATGGGCTCTTCTCTTCAGCAGTCGCAGTGGCGCTGCTCATGACAGCAGCTGGATATGCTGCACAGTCCGTGATGACATCACCATCCTTGACCTTGCCATACTGGCAGTTCTCCAGACCTCTCTTCAGGCTCTTGTACTTCAGATAGGGAACTTCTGGTTCTCACACATGTTGATGCTGGTGGCCACCTCCAGCCCCAGTGGGGCAAGAGCGAACCAACCCAAGAAGGCAAGGAAGAAGGAGAAGACACTGCCCCAGAACGCTCGCATGTGAGGATTCTGCTGAACCGTACCGCAAACACGGAGCAGGGGCAACTCCGTTGCCTTGTTGGATTCATCCACCTTCAACTTGAAGTCCGCCATGCTTGCGAGTTCCCACAAGGAGATCTACCAGAGTCACTAGAGCCTGCAAGTGCTGCAAACTCTGCATACGTGACAACATGTCATAAGGACAGCTTTGTTGCTTCGACTTACCCGCCACAGTGGAGCCTCTTTAGAGCTCCTCCAGAAGAAGGCTTCGTCCGTGCCCTCCTCATCTGCCGCGTCCGCGACGAAAGTGGGGTCCTGCTCTTCTGTTGAAGGGTTTGGGATTGAAGGGGTTTGGGGTTCAGGGGTTTAGGGTTTAGGAGTTTAGGGTTTAGGGGTCTAGGATTTTCGGGGTTAGGATTTAGGGTTTAGGGGTTTAGGGTCCTTTGCATGTCTGTCCAACCGTCTGAGCTTACATCGGGTTCAGGGTTTCTCGAGTTTTTGGGGTTGCTCAGCCACCGGGGCCTGGAATCTTAAGGTTTCGGGTTCCTGGGGCTTTAGGGTTTGACTTTCAGGGTTTAGGGTGCAGTGTAGGGAAGTTCATTAGTTCGCAGGGGTTTCGTAAGGATATCTATGAGGCTATTGGATCTGTATTGGTTACCGCTACATATAAGCGAGGGTTTCAAGGGTGTCGTGTAAGTAGGGGTTTCCATTGGAGTTTCTGTAGGGGTCCCATATTAGGGATTACTGGTGAATGCAGGAGCCTCTGTTAAAGCTACCACTGTGGCACGTAAGGCACCCTTGCTGCAGTAATTCACTTATAAATACATATGCTCGAATCCGAAATATAAACCAACTTCCTGACAACTCTGATTCTTCAATCCTGGGCGAACTGCAACCCCCCACTAGCCGTGGTCTTCATGCTTGGTCATTATACTGAGCATACCCCCCATCCTACGAACATGTACTGAAATAAGCCATGCGAGTGAAAATCCTCCATCTCCACTGCACGATAGGACACTCTAATGTAACAAACCCACCACACCAGGCTCGCAAAACCAGAAACCATCATTTAAATGTGTCAGCCCCGCAACTGAACCGTACACATGTCGAACCCTGAATCCGGATGCCATAGATCCCTAAAGCCAAAACCCACGGCCCCGTTAGCGCCCGGTACCCTGGACCCCGACAAGGCCGCCCCATTGCCAGGGTCCGGCAAGTTGGCCCAGCCCTCGACTTCGCACAGCTTGAAGACCTTCACATGGGAGCCTTAATAATTAGAATACGGTTTTGGGGCCCATTATACTTTAGTCATAATAAGGAGCCCCAAAAACAGTATTGGCAATCATTTAGGCCCCTAGATTACCCGGGCCATGTCTAACAATCGGCGGGCTGCACATCATCGTCATCATCATCATCATCCTACAGCCAACTACACCAGCAAAGAGGTCGCCACAAAGGCAAAACAGCAATGATTTGGCTAGTGGTCAACTCAGCCGGGCACGGCCAGCGAGGCGAGTCGATGGTCCAAGTGCTTTAAGTTGAACTCGAAGGCAAAGCTTTCGGGCTGGACGAAGGGAAACCTTTCAGAGTTTTCCCGGGTGGGTACAATAGCAGAGGTGGAGGAGGGGAAGTGGAACTAATGGATAAACGGGGTAAAAAGGGCGAGTAGGACTTTGGAGCAAGCAGCGGTTCTGGCTACAACACTTGCTGGTACAGCTACAGCTTCCTGGGGATCATACAGATATGCTACCCGGAGAACGAAAACCGCTACAGCTTACCGGCTCGACTTGTAGGCGAAACTTAGGAATTGCGGAATCCACAGGGCTGGTGCCTAGTCGTTTATTGAGTTGCTTGTCTAGGTTCCTGAGTAGTCCGTTTATAATAAGGATTCCCTTTCCCTATATGCGGTTTTAATAAGGGGCCCCCCTGAAAATGTGAAGGGCGAATGGGTACTACTCAGGAACCTAGATCGTTCTGATGTGGGGTGCAAAAGGCGGACAGTTTCAAAGTAGCAGACGGATTCACGGAGACATGAATGGGATGCAGGGCAGCAAACTAAGTAACTGCATGTACACTTCCACACTGGAGCTAACCGCCCGAGTCTTTGCCAGTGTCAGGATTTGCTTTCAACGTCGCGAAAGATAAAAACAAAAAAAAAACTAAACTCTAAACCCTTTCTGATTCGAGCCAAGGAGCATCATACACTGGTTGAACCTGCCCGGGCTAAGCTGCTTGACATCTTCAGCTGGGTGGTTGTCAAAATCAGGGTCCCTTTTTGGGGGGTCCTCAATAGAATACGGCACCGAATATTTAGGGTACCAACAAAGGGACCATAATTTTGACAACTACCCAGCTGGGTATGAATTAGTGCTTCAGAACGGGTGAAGTCATGGAGCCCTAGTGAGAGGATTCGAGCTGTGCAAGTTGGCTCTGTACCTGGACCCCCAAAGGGCCTTTTATAGGTATTGGGCCATTATTTTACCTACTTTGGGGGGGGGTTTAGGTAGGGCTTTTGAAGATGTCGAAAGTCTTAACTTTGGGCTCCAAGCTCAAACACCGCACGAAAGACCTACACCCGTAACCCCAAACCCAAAACGCAAGACCCTAACCACCTGAACCATAAACCTTAAACTCCAAAACATGCCCCAACAAAACACGCCTCTCCAGCTTGCAGAAGTTGCAGCTCTCGTCCAGAACGTCGCGCGCCAGAGTTTGGTTCTGGATGTCGACGATCCTCCAGTAAGGGTTCTCCAGGTTCTGCTAGATGGGTACTGTTTAGACTTAGGGTATAGGGGTTCATGTACCCACATCCGCTGAGGAAGAAGGATGGGATAGGGTTTGAGAATTCAGGGTTTAGTACATGATAGAATACTCACGTGCGACTATGGGGGATAATATGTCTCCTGATTATTCACCCCCCCCCCCCAATTACACTATCCTACTGCCGACTGCGGCATGCTGCATGCTCTTGTGCGCCCGTACCCCCTTAATACGGGTACTCAGCCGAACACTCGAAACTCGACACTTTGAACCCCATTCCCGAAATCGGCAGCACAAACGCCACTCCTTCAGTCCTAAATGCCTTATAGAAACCCAGCCCTCCAAGAAACGCTTGAACCCTTAAGGTTCTGCCTGAGGTATAGCAGCTGGAAGAGATTCAGCCGTGCAGAGGGAGTCTCCAGAAGCAGGAGCAATGTACGAAGCTGCAGGCTGCTGAGGAAGAGCTCATGAGAGACCTCTCGTCTAGAGGGGAGAGGGAATCTTGGATTGAGGATGGGTCTGGAGGGCTAGGGGTCGATTTCGGGGGGTTTTGAGCGCTTTTGCTGCTCACGCCCTTGAAACTCCATAGTTGTAGGTAGTTGCAGGGTCCAGTAGTTCGGGTCATGACCCTGCAGCTTTAGGGTGTGGGACCTGCGAGATAAGGTGATTGGGGGAGCAGTTCTACTTCGGGCTTTATGGTCTTAGAGGCTGGGGATTCTAGGGATCAACCGCGAACCTACCGTCTTTGGGTGAAGCTACTACGCCTGTTTACCAAGTAAGGCCCGGCTTCAGGATTTGCGATGCGCGGCTTGCGGGCTCGAACTGCAGATTCGGTCTCGAGGTTTCTTTTCAGGTTAAGACTGTGCTGCGCAGTGCGCCACAACTTGTATAGGCCCTGCGCTACATGTCTTTGAGACCAGAACCCTACTGGTGGTACTTCCACTTGCTGCTGCTGGGAACACGCTTGCTTTAGACATGCTCTACGTTTGTTGCTGCTCCTTCTGTGCGCTATATTCTCATGTGACTTATAATTGACTAAGGACATGGGTTGGGAGTAACGGACGAAATTTTCAACTTTCACCGCTTGAGACAGAAGCAAAATCCACAAGCATGGTGAGGAGGTCTACACTTAGAGATCACTTATAGAGAACAGGGACAACAGCAGCGAGTAGGGAACAAGACTGGAACAAGTGCTATGTTGAACTGGCACGGGATAACGAGGGGAAGAAGCGAGTTATGAGGGGAGAACCGTCGAGACCAAGAAGACGGGCGCAGGAATGGCAACAGCCGAATTCGAACCTGAAAGCCCTCAAGCTCCTCGACATCCGACAACACGAAGCCCTAACCCTCAACGCTAAAACATCCTAGAACACTGGACCCGAAAACCCCGACCGGTTGGCTGGCCTAGATCCTGCACTGTCCATGACCGTAAGTATGACTATGCCGTGGCTCCCGTAGTTTCGTTTGTGTGCACTTAACACGCTGCAGGATTCGTCAAGAAATGTAGCTGGACTTGCTCTGGCAAAAACCCTGAGAAGAAAAGGACAGTGTCCTGAAACCCTGAACCCCCCCCACTCAAAAAAAAAACAACTCGTCAAACATGCCTTCCCTACACTACTAAACTGGAAACGGAATTAAAGCCGATGGCGAAGTCTAATGCGAGGCCCTAGCTCCCCAGAAGCCTCGAACCACAAACCCTAAACTCCACGGTTTGCAAAGGCTAACAGTCTAGGGCCTAGGGCTTAGGGTTTAGGGTTTGTAGGGTGTATGGAGGGTTTCCAGAAGAGATGCCGGCACAAGAGCCGCAACTTTCTGTTCCTCGGTCAGGCTGCAGAGACGGAGCGCCTCAGCTTGCCAGGCGATCGCTCACTTTACAATTTTGGGGTTGTCCAGGCATCAACGAGTTTTCAGGTGTTGGATTTTGGGCTTGCGGATCCTGGATTTGCGGGTTTGGGACTGCACGGGTTTTCGACGAAGCTAAATCCAACAGCGGTGCATTGAGGGTTGTCCGTGTTTGTAAACCCTCGGTAATCTTCAAAGCCTGTTATCGGAAGAAGCCTAAAAGAGCAACCGAAATTGCTACGCTCCAGGCTCTGAATCTGAATCCCGCGTAAACTTGGAACCCGACACTCCCAAAAGCCCTCCCCCCATAACCATCCAAACCCACAACTTCTTCTTCAGAGTCGCTGTGCTCCCTGACCCCAGGCTCCGACGAACCCACCACCAAGGCTGCCATCCGAACAACAAGCAAAAGACCCTATACCCTGAGACGCCTCAGCAGCATTTTCCGAAGTAGTTGACACCCCGAACCTCATGTACCGCTTGAGCTTTCTATTCTTCTTCCCAAGCCTAAACGCATAGACCGGGCCTGATGCTGGTTCATGAACGGAGCATAATGGACGTGCTGCTGAGAATCTCTATGCCAACAAGAGCAGCTCCTAAATCCTGCTCTCTATGCACGAAAAGCCTAAAGCCTAAACCCCACGACCTGAATCCCCTAAAGCCTTATTCCGACTGATTCCTACAGCCATTTACCCACCATACCAACAACATCTCAACAGTCATTACAAAGACACAAACCCCAAGCCTACAACCAACTTCTCAACCTAAACCCTAAACCCCAAACCTGCCTGGCAGAGGTTTCTGAAGCTTGGCGGTGACACGGCCGAGGCCTGAAGGAGAGATTCGGGCCCTCAGGTGTAGACCCCATGAGGCTCTGAAGGGTCTAAGGGCCGTAAGGGCAGAAGGGACTAGGAATCTCTAAGGGGTGTTTAGGGTTTACGGCTCTAGGTTTATACCCCTGATTCTGCAGCCCGATTCGGGTTTGATTTGGGTCGGGAGCGCTCAGTGAACGGCCCAGGGCGACTGTAAAGACGTTACATAGGACAGTATCGGCTTTTGGGCTTTGGCTTCTCGTCTATATCGATTGGGGTTTGGGGTTCGACCTGAAGTCCTAAAACCCTCAAGCCCGAAACTCTAAACCGGTAACACCCAAAAGCCCTAACTCTTCGAAAGCAAACGAACTGAACCCTCCGAAAAGACGTAACATGGGCGCCTTCAGAACCCTGAACCCCAAACCCCAAGCCCTTAACCGCGGCATTCATGATCTGAATAAAGGGAACTCCAGAAAGTTGGAATATGGATTAATGGTAGGATCCCCTATAATTTACCTTAAAGGGATTACGATAATGATATTCCAACTTTCTGGCTTCTACTGTAGGCTTTCTGGGCACGTGGTATAAGCACAAAGGAGCTTCGAGGAATTAAAGGCGGTTACCACTCAGGCCCCTGGGATACGATGGTTCATAACAGCGAGTACCGAGGGCTTAATCAAGGTTCTATGAGCGTTTGTAGGATTGTAACAGCTTTATGTGCCTTAAGGATTCAAGAAATTGGGTTTTGGGGCTTGCCTTTTGGGGTACAGGGCTTTAGACCCCAGCTAACTAAAGCCTAGCACCATGATCCATACAGCAGTCCTCCGCGGTTGGCCGCTTGCCACTAGCATAGTCGAGCACCAGAAGTCCATGCTCGGGCCAAGGCCAGTCGTTCATCGGGCCTTCGGAAGCTCCGTAAAAAGCCTTCTGTCGGGACGTAGGGTTTTTTTGGGTTCCGAGTTTCGCAAAAGCCAGTTTGTCTTGGAAGCCGATATTCCGTCTGCATCGGTGCGTGTCATGGAGGAAAGAAGGGTACTGAAAGTAATGAAGGGTCTCTTAGGCCATCCTAAGCCTTGCTTGTCCAGCTTCCTAGGTCATAGGACATCTACGTATGATAGAGGGTTTATCTATACTGCAGTTACTCTTAAAAACACTCTGAGCCCCAAAAACCCAATGAACATTTCAGCCAAGCTTGCAACAAAATCTCGATCCTGGAAACCTGGAGAACGCCCTTTCAACCCCATTTTTCAGGAAACTCGAAGCTCCCAAAGCCGCTGCAAACAAACAGACCAAAGGCCCAAGTTCAGTGATATATTTTTCCGTAAAAGTTATGGCAGGCCTACCCATAGGCTCCATAGTAGTTCTTTTTTGGGATTACCTTATAGGTTTCTATATATGAACCCCCAAAAGGAACTACTTTGGAGCCTCTAGGTAGACAATGCACTCTTCTGTAGAACAGGGACACTGAGGGAATAATGTTGGTAACTACCCCAGTCCACGATGTTGGGAATCCTTGCGTCGACCGGTACAGAGACTCCAATATCCCTGAAATAAGGAATATTCCTTAAATCATATTAGGGATCCTATTATAGTTTAGTAAATATTCCTTAATTAAGGAATATTGGAGTCTCTGGGGGTGCCTGAGTCGATGCGCTTCTCAAGGTAGAGAGGGTTGAAGATGCAGGAGCTGAACCTCGAAAGGAGGAATAGTTAGGGTTTAGGCAGCAGGGATTAGGGTCTCGAGTTTAGGGTCCAGTGTTTAGGGTCTACCTTAACCCGAACTCTTTGAAGACTTATGTAAGGACATCATGATAGGGAGCTCAACCTCGAAAGGAGGAGTCTGATGATAATTTGGATAGTTCCCCAGGTTAGCGGTTAGCGTCTTTCGGTCCCCAATATGGTACGGCACCTTTATAAGAAGGACCCTGAAAGGGACCCTAATTCAGAGAATCTTCCATTCGAGCCTCGAAGACTTTTCTGCGGAATAGTACTATCTGCCATCCACACGACAAAGCTTCACTGCCGGCAAATCAGAACCTCCTGATCCTTTAGGGCTTGGAAGTTTAAGCACAAATGGATTCAACAATTCAGGCTCTTCGGGTTTAGGGTTTCGGGATTTCAGAGCTTACTGTAGGGTTTTAGAGTTCGACATCGAAACTCATTGGATCAATATAAGCCCACATGTCTCCAAGAAGCATCCCCCGAAGCCCCGCCCTCCATGCACCAAGCTCAATTCTGGTTCTCCGCGGGCTTGTGCCTTATGCCCGCTGAGCCATGGGTTTACTTCAGGGTTGAGGGCACCTTGCCAAATCCGACGGCCCGGCCAAGTATTGAAACGCGGACTCCCATCCCCAAACTCGTCGAGGCACATCCTGGAGGTGTCCTTTCGCCGCAGCTCCTGCTGCAGGTCCCACTCCAAGGGCAAAAAGAGGGACCCTCAATAAGGACCCCTCGGTATATACCCTTAATATAGCAATTATATACCCATTATACACCCCATTACGGGGTAGGGGTCCCCATCAAGGGTCCACGGGCTACAAGAACCTACCGTCTAAGCGAGTGGAAGTCACGAGCTGTGCAGGCAAAGTAGCTCTGCCTGGCTGAAGCTGGATCTCTCATAATTAATTACCTTGAGGCTCCATAGTAGTTCCGTTTTGGGTTTCTTATTTAGAATTCTATAAGGTAATTCCAAAAAGGAACTGCTAATTGCTCCAAAAGGAACTGCTAATTGCTCCATGAGATTCCTCCGAAGGTACTTCGTTGGACCGGCAGTTTTGTAGCAAAGTATTGCCAGTTGTCGGTGTGGTGGTCTTGGTGCGCGTCCTCTTTACTTTACTTCTAGCCATAACATGCCCCTCAACGAAAGTCTGTGTTTCTGAGGTCCCAAGCTCCCTCAGACCTGAGGGGAAATGGGTTGAGATAAAGAGCAGGACCCCGACCAACTGAAACCCGCGGTTCCTGTCGCAGAACACCTTCCCATCGATCGAGGCGCAGCAGCTGCTGCCCGACGAAGGCGTCCGAAGGGTTTGCGAGGTCCAGCCCTCAGGCTTATCATTGGGCTTGCGGGGATAGGGTTTAGGGGTTTATACAGACAGGGGTTTAGGGTTTCGCGGTTTACATATTTTGGGGTTTTGGGGTTTAGAATCTAGGGCTGATCGGATTTATGAGCCATGTGAGGCTTCTTGTTCGTCTTCTTGTTTCTGCGAGTCCAGTTGCGGGCTGCAGGTGAATTGGGTAACCGCATGCTCACTACGTACTTGCTGAATCCTAAGACATACACTAAGAGTCCTAAACCACCTGCACCTAAACATCAAGTTGTACAAAAGGCTGAACCCACACCCTGAGCCCGAAATGAGATTTGGTTTCGCAGACCTTTCTGTTGCTTGGCTCCGCCTGACTTGGGGCTTAAGGGTTGATTTCTGGAAGGGTTCAGAGCAACTCTACATGGGAGTTTCCGACAATAGGGGAACCTAATATGGTACCCTAAATAGTAGGATCCTTATTTTAAGGACCCCCAAATGTGGTACCCCTATTTTCGGAAACTCCCACATCGCGTACGAGGAGCGGTAGTGGCCACTCGGATTCTGCACGTTGAGGTTCAGGAGGCTGGTCGAATGTTGCAGCGCCGAGATGTACGCTCCTGATGCAGCCCACGAGGCCCAAAGTAGCCATTTACAGACTTTAGAGCCCAAAGTAGGCAGTATTTGCACAACACTCCAGCGCGGTCAAACAAGGAGAAGCAAACACAAGAGTGGAACACTACGTTGCCAGACAGCAGGGTCCCGCAAACAAAAGCCGAGCACAATGCTGCACAGCAAAACGATTGCAATCATAATGGATCATGGTTTATACGGCCTTTATTCCTACTACTATTCTTATTGCGGCCAAAACCAGTACAATACCTATCAGTCATCGCTATAGGACACAACTTCCAGTCAGGAAACACCTTCGGGGTATACTAAGTGCTTGGGTGCCAAGAAGGCTCTCACTTGATACTCTGCTGACGATTGACGCACGGGGTATTTACCAGCCACCAAGCCCGGGCATTGAACGCCTTTTCCTAAACCCCAAACCCTTCGAAGCCACGGTGCTGAAAGTCGGAGCGGCCAAGATCGTCAGATATCGCTCTTTCGCTCCCGCGGAGCACGGTAGAAGCCGCCACACAACCTGTGAAATCAGGCGAGGCCCCGGTGGGAAAAGAACGAATTCTGTTGCATGCAGCTGACGTAGGCGCCTTAATAACCAGACCAGGCTTGTGGTGTATATTGTAGAAAAAGTAATCAGGAACCCTATAAGGAATGATATTGGTGGCTAATTCAGCTTCCATGGTATGCTACACAAAAGGGACCTCCTCGGCTATCTCGCGCTCGAAGCCGAGTTGTAAGATCTGACTGGGCTCCAGGAGAAAGTCCTTGGCCAACCTCAGATCATGTAGGGGCCTTGGTAATCGGGGTATGTTAGCAGAACGGTGGCAAAGGATCTCCTGGAGGGCGAAGAACCTCACTAGGCTACAAGAAGATCTCGGCAAGAACTGGCGGCTCTAATGCCAGTCACCCTGGCAACCTTTGACAGGTCGGACTTCTAGTTGATCAGCAAGTGTCGCAGGCTGATGCATATGTGCACACCAATTCCTGCACAACTCGTTCAAGCACCTATGCCCTACACCACAAGGCAGTGCGACAGGAAGCTCCTTTCAATTTCCTTGACCCTCCCCAACACTCTGCGAGCCGAAATCCTGAAACCTCAGAAAGAGGAGGAAAATGCAGCACCGCGCGGCGCATTCAGGAAGACAACCTGCTCTTGTATCTGCATCTTCAGAGCACTGAACCTCAATGAATGGTGGACTTAGCGGGCTTAGGACTTTCAGGGCTCATTGGCTTTGGGTGGGTTTTTGTCGAAGTGCCGGGGCGGCAAGCACTAACTCTTGGTGATACCCAACCTAAAAGCGAGTTTGACGACTGCAGCCAAGAAACTGCTTAAACAGCTGCAGCTGCTTCCTCAGCCGGCGGGGCTCTGTGGCAAGCTCCGAAAGCCAAAGGTCTAACAAAACTGCACCTCCGCACGCCTAACCGTCCTGCATGGAAGCGGGGGACGACAATGTAGACCCATAGATAGACATTAAGTGATTAAGATCCTTGTTGCAAGGACCCCATCAAATTTATAATATCCCAAGAGCCCCGAAGCTGCCTCCGTCAATGTAAATTTGGCTCGGATCCCGAGGACGACTGCAACCCCCAAGCCTGGACTGCAGAGTTTGATAAGGGACCCAGAGACTCCAATATCCCTTAATTAAGGAATATTCCTTAAATTATAGTAGGATCCCTAATATGATTTAAGGAATATTCCTTAATTTAGGGATATTGGAGTCTCTGGGGACCTAAGAACCCGTCCTTGAAGACCCGGAAGCCCCCTAAACCCGAAGACCTGACCTCCAAAAACCGCCTGAACCCTCAACTCCCTGATGGAAGATAAACCCTCGAGCCTCCAAAGTCGAAAAACCTTAGAATTCACCACAGGGTCCTACGGTTGATGATATAAATCCTGCATTACCCATAATAAGGAATATACCATAATTTCCATAGTTGAGGGTCCTTAACGTAATGCAGGATTTATATCATCAACCGAAGTACCCAAATAGTAGGGCTTCATAGGTCCCAAATTCCATACTCTGAATGGTGTTTGGACCTTGAAAGCCTCCTATTTGGGCACTTCGACCCTTAGGGTTCCTTACTAAAAGCTCCCCAAACCCTAAAGCCTATAAAGCTTAAACCGGCCTAACGCTGCCAAGCGTCGCTGCCGGAAGTCTGCAGCGGAGGAGCTGTGCCTGCTCTGCGAGGAGCCCGTGGAAATCCCACCTGTCGCCTGCCACGGGGGCTTGACATCTTGTGATTGTTTAGGGTTGAGGGTTTGGGGGCTAGGGTGCAGGGACCCCTCATATCGTTTTGAGGGTTGACAGGCTTGGAGTTTGGGCTCAGGATTGAATTGCGCTTCTACGTTTTGCGGGTTGTTGCTTCAGGATTGTGGTGCACAGAATCCCTATATTTGCACTATGGTTGCAACACTTCTTTTAGTGATAGTTTTTGTTGGGAGGCTTCCGTTTTCCCTGTTGCATATCTTGGGGTGTGGCCCTCCACTGGTTCGAGTACTTACCAACGATCTGTCTAAAGCTTCCTGAACTTAGGCTGCATGGCAAAGCCCCAACATTTTTCCAAAAGTACATTCCACGCTGCCCTGGAAATGCACTGCCGGATGCGGCTTCGAACTGTCGCCCTGCCTAGGCTCCTTCCCATGGCTTTCTCCATGTTGAACTTTATCCTGGTGCCACCGGCAGTGGGCACCGTCCTTGGTCATTGCAGATGCGCCGAATCAGGCTGCTCTGAATTCTGGCCCCCTACAGGTATCCATACTTGAAAAAACAACCGCACGATCGCGACAAGGAAACTCAAGACCAGCCCGATTCCAGCGCCCCACCTGCACATGCTTTAGCCTCCTTTCGACCCTACAGTCCTTCCGAACCCCAGAAGCTGTCAGCGGTTATTCCCGAACGAGCGGTACGGAAAGCACGGTAGGAAAATTGTCAAGCGACTGGACCTTCTGCTGCAGCTTGCTAGGGCAACATTTGGGACTAAATAGCTATAGGGATTATGCCACACCGCACAAGTCAAGGCTACTTAGAAACCTTGCTCAGCCGCGTTCATCGTGCAATGCCAAGGCTCCATAAGCCAGCCGGCGTCTTCCTGCAACGACTGGCGGGGAGGCGACATCCCACAAGAGCAGGGTCTGTCCAAGCTACAGGCAATGTACCAGAAAGGAACGAAGCCCATTGATTCTTGCTTGGGCTTTGTGATTGTAAGCTCCGAAACTCGGATGCAAGAACTGTAAGTAACAGCCTCGGAAGCAGGTGTGGAAGGTACGGAAACACGATGCTGCAACATGCTCCCCGGGCTTTGGCAGAGCTTAAGCAGAAGACACTGAGAAACCCTGAACCCTAAATTCCAAATCCCGAAACCCTGGACCCAAAATCCCTCAACCCTATCAAAGTCGAGATGCTCTGGGAGCGTCGTGGCTCCGGCCACAGGCGTCAGCGCATCCGCGATTTGAAAATTCAGTCGCTCTGCTGTCTCAGCTTGGAAAGTGTGTATCGGGGGCTTCATAATTAGAATAGGGTTTTGGGGCCAATTATACGATAGTTTTATAAGGACCCCCCCCCAAAGTACTACTGGTAATGATTAAGGCCCGTATATCAACATGTAAGGTTTCTGCTTTTAGGGTGTTGTAAGGGCTCTGTAATGGTTCTGGGTTTGGGTGTTGTCTATAGGACGAATGAGCCTTGATAGGGCCGCATAAGTGTTGCAGAGGAGTTTGTAGGAGTTCGGATTCCTCAGGGGTAGCAGGCGTTTCGAATCCAATGTTCAAGGGTCAGGGCACTCGGGGTCTAGAGCTCATTGAGCTCATACCATTATTTTATAAATCGAGGTTGCAAGGCTAAGCGCTTGCTGCATTTGGAGCTGTAGCTGTCTATGGTTTACGTGAGGCTGCAGACTTAATGGTGTTCAAGTCAAGGTGTCAAGAAACGGTTTACCTGAGACTCCCGTTCAAGTGTCTGGGAATTTTAGGAACACTTCCCACTTTTAGAAAATAAGTGTCCGACCAAGAGGAATTTAGTAAGATGAAGATGCAGACGCTGCCAAATAGTAATATTTGGGGAGGGGCCAAAGGCTTATAGCTGTTCGCTGTTCGGACGAAAAGTCTTGGAACGTGCACGGTGCAGATCGCTGTAGCAATACCAGTGACGAACTTGGATAAGACCCTGACTGTTGCGTCGGTGAATTCCATGAACATGATTGTCTTGTGTCTTGTGATGACGTTGGTGAGGGTGAGAAATATGATGGCGCCGAGGCTGATGATGCTGATTTGTGGTCATGGTGATTTCGATGATGAGAGGGGTGATGATGTACCTATAGTCTCCATTGTCGTTCCTTTTTGGGGTTACTTTTTAGGATCCTTAAAATAAAATTGGTTAAACCCCAAAAAAGAACTACAATGGAGTCTATAGTGACTATAGGTACCACTTGCCAGTAGTATGATGTTGGTCTCACGGCCATCACTCTTCTGGTTCTGTGACTTCACAAGACATCCTGGCCTTGGCGAGCATGCGCATGATGCTTCGATGGTACGGCTGCGTGAAGTCCAGCTGGTACGTGCCTCCTGCAAAGATATGACTTCAGGTTCCCATTAAACTGTGAGATTGCGCAGCTTGCGTAATGGTAACGGAAATTGCAACAATGCACCAGGTCAGTTCGGCAGGCCAAATCCCCCACTTACTAACGAAGGAAAACCGTGCTCACTCATGCGAAATGCTTCATCCCAATGCCTGTACTATATGTTCAACCCTGGCACTTCAAAAGCGCATCGCGCAGGCGTATACGTGCAACACAGGAACGCTTGTCACACCTCGTTCGGCAGGATACATACAATCCGAATCAAGGTAGAGAAAGTGGTGATCCTCCAACCCTGCGCCCGAACTCTGAACCTGAGCTTAGCTCTTAAACCCTAAACCCTAATCAAGTCCATCCGGCTTCGACCCCGAACCAATCGTTTCCTCCAGTCGTTTGTGAAGCTGCCGCACGAACTCCCAAGCCTCACCCCAACCCGCAAACCAGCCTAACCCCAAAACACATCTACACCTGAACCCCACATTCGTCGAACCACTACTGTAACTCAAATCTACGAACATGCGAGCTCATAAACTCCAACACTGAACCGCGATACCTGGAAACTCAGAATCCTGAACCCCTACCCCTCATTCCTAAAATCCTGAACCCGAAACCCAACACATACTGCGAAACCTTATGTACCATTGCAGACCGCCAATGCCTAAGCCCTTACCCTGCACCCTCAATCCCAAAATCCTCAAACCCTAATACATAAGTCCTCAAAACTCTAAACCATCAACAGTAAAGTCTACAGCCCCAAACCTTAAACTACTCTAAACCCTAAACTCTGCACCCTAAGCCTCGAACCTTAAACTCCAACAGCCGAAACCAATTGCGAAAATACTCGGGGTACCTTAGGGTTCCTTTAAAGGCTTAAAGGGGTACTATAAGGGTTCTATAAAGGGTTTAGGGTTCGAGGGTCCCGGGCTGTTGGGACGAAATCCCGGGCCGGTCTGCTCCATGTGGCCCTGGGCATCCTTGGCTTCATGGGGTTTAGGGGTTCAGGGGTTAGGGGCTTAGGGGATTAGTGTTTAGGGGTTTAGGGATTTAGGGGTTTGGGGTTTGAGGTTTCGGGGTTAGGATTTAGGGTTTAGGGCGTGGTTTAGGGCGTCTAGGAGTCTATGGGTCAAGGTTTCGGTTTCTGCGTCAAAGATCCTGGTAAGATCGGGGCACGCGTCCTCGTGGAGCTGTCTGGCGCCGTCGTAAAGGTTTCGAGTAATCAGGATGTTGAGGGGTTTATCGGGCATGAGGCTTTTAGCATCTGTTGATGCGGGCGTGCTTAGGTTTTCAGGGTTTTAGGTTTTCCTTTCGCTGCCATGGCTTTAGTTAGGGGTCTTGGCAGGCACAGGTTTCGCGATTCAGGTCAGGGTGGGGGGTTTTCTGAAAGGGTTGCCTCAGCAGCTACCACACATCGTTTGTCATAGAAAACCTCAAACAAGACTGATGATGATTGTCGTTCCGAGTCAACCTGCGCTGAACAAGCCAGTTTAAAGCATTGCTGCGGAATTGCCGCTGAGAGGCTGAAAAGCAACCCGCGAAGTCGATGCTTCTCAGGCACGACGCCTCCCGACCATGTCAGAGATTCAGGTTGCCGCAGGGTTCGGGGCTCTTGTTAGGGATGCAGATCCTATGTGCCAAAGGAAGCAACGCAGTGAGAAATTATTTGCAAACTCCAAACCCTATAAGCCCTAAACCCCTATTACCTAACCCCAAACCCTAAACGTTCCAGCCGGGCACACTCTAATTTACCTCCTACCACTGCAGCTCTGTCGACGATGCCGACTCTCGTCTCAAACCATACAAATTCCCCTTATCCTCAGAGCCCCGAGGCTGAATGCCCTACTCTTATGCACTCAGAACTTTGGGGTTCAAATCTTTTCATCCAAAGCCACCCAGCACCCTCAAGACTGTTTTAATTCGGATGCCCCCAAATTCAGATGATGCCTGTACTGGGTTGGCACGCCCTAAATACGACACACTTAACTACGATGTCCCCGGATTCTTGAAGTGGGACACACATACGGGAGGCGGAGCGAAGCGGATTACCAGAGAGGCTTTCTCACACGCAGTTCTGCCAGCCGCTGGCGTTCTTTACTTTATTTGGTCTTAGGGTTTACAATCTCAGAACTCGGACTTGCCAGGTTGCGAGGGTTCAGGGCTCAAAGGCGTACGATTCAGGGCTTGGAGCTCAGGGTTCAAGAGTTGCGGAACTGAAAGACGAAGACAAAATCAAGCCTGACACATCGAACATGCGGAATCCTGCAAACCCATCACCAGAAATCTCGCAGGCCTAGCCAACACACCACAAACCTCTGTAATGCTTGCAGCCCCCAAGTACCCCCTCGAACCAAAGACCCGAACCACATGAGCCCTTCGAAGCCTTTGAGCATAGTGACATTACCCATAATAACGAATTAAGGCCTATTCAAGGAAGTATAGTTTCCACCCCCTCCCCCTTGCCCCCCTGAGGGTCCCTATGATTTGACCCGTCTCGCCTGGCTACAAAGAAGCCGGAGCATAGAGCGACATCCCAGGATGCCCAGTGGATTTTGTGCCAACTGGGCTGTAGGGAAGGGTACCTAGAGACTCCAACATTCCTTAATTAGGGAATACGCCTTAAATTGTAGTAGGATCCCTAATATTCTGCAAAGTATATTCCTCAATTAATGGATATTGGAGTCTCTGGGTACAGGGCTTGGGGTTCTGGGCTCAAGCTATGGGCTTACGTTAAGGGCTCGGGGGCTTCAGGGCTGAGGGGTGAGGGCTTGGCACTTTCGATAAGACTCTTAACGTACAGCAGCTTGCGTTTTTTTGGCCCGCCCTGCAAGCCCTGTGCGCTCAACAACAGATTTTTCTTAAGCCTGCAACCCTAAACCCTGAGCTCATAAAGGGGATGTGGGGCTCTCTGGGAAGCGAGCTGCAATGTAGTGACGCACCTCTGAGATAGTACACCCCAAGCAAACGCCTATTCAAGCTCTTTGAGGGCTTTATATCAAGCAACCTGAATCTTGAAAGGCCTAACCCCATAAGCTCTGAATCCTAAAGCCCGAAAACGGACAGGTTGAGCATCTAAAACTACTTGCTCAGTCTACATTCACTGACTAGACGTGAAACTTACTGGAGTCCAGGTGCAACCCAAAGAGCACCTTACTTCAGGAATATACCTCAAAATGAGATTTGACCGCCTACACACAAGGAGGTATACATTCGTTGATGAAGGCGTGTTTTGCTCTCTGGGTCCAAGCTGTACACTCTTCGTCTTCTGCAGTCAGGGTTGTAAGGCTGGTCTTTAAGGCTTGATGTTGTTGATTTAGGGTTTAGGGTTTAGGGTTTAGGGGTTTGTTTTTTGTTTTTCTTGAGGGCCTTTTTGCAACCGCACTAGTATCTAGCCGTCGCAGCCCATTTGGGCAGGCACGTTTGGCCATATTGCTTCCTGGTTTTTGTTTAAAGTGCAGTGACTCTTTCTCTCATGCGGGGTTTGGGGTTTAGGGCTTTCATTTCATGGTGTGGCCAAGGTGACCAAGGCGGCTTGCAGTCGGGCACGACTACGCACTACCATACCTCTAAGCCTTAAACGCGAAACCCTAAATACACCGGCACTCCTACTGCTACTACTGCTGCTGCTGCTGCTGCTACTACCACTAAGAGTGGGATGAAGGCGCACAGGGACAGCAGCCAGGGCACGACCAGCCTTCGCAACTTGGGATGATCGCCAAGCCTTGGCTGCAGTGGGTATGGGGTTTGAATTAGGGTTTTACGGTTTAAGGCTTACTAGTCGAAAACCGACACCTCCCTGCAGCAACAAGATTATAGATCTGCGGGTTTGGATGAAAGTCAAAGTCCTCGGCAGCCGCGTGGCACGTCTTCGAGGACCAGAGCAGCTCGGTAGTCAATCCTGGCTCGGGGGGAGTTCTGGAAACGAAGATGCACTGCTGTATGCCTGAATGTGAGTATGTGGGTGTGTGCATATCCGTAAACGTATGCATGTGTGCATGTGTACATACGGGTATACATGTATAGGGACTTGTTCCCGTACGACTAACCATAGCAGTAGCAGTCATAGAAGCAGCAGCAGGAAATCTATTCCTCTTGTTCTTGCGACTAGGCAGTGTGCACCATACTGCAGTTTGGATAAACTAAGGATTGCCTTCGAACCTCCTTCACCAAAACCAGTAAAGGGAAATTCAGACAAAGAGCACGCTTGCACAATTGATTTGGTTGACAGGTTTTCAAAAATCTTCAGGCTGTCTGCTCAGTACCCTAAGCCTTTGAAAACACTACGAGGGCCTACGAGCCTGCGGCTAAAACCTATCTTAAACCCCACCCTGAAGCTCTAAACCATTAATTACCTTCCGACTGCAGACCAATGGCTGGTCGGCCGCAAGGTCCAGCTGCTGCAAGTTTGATATACCTCGGCCATCATCATCTTCTTCATTATCATCACCAGCGCGGTGCAGGGTGGGGGGACAAGAACCTTGAGTTTCCCTGATGCACTCCAAGGCAGCCTGAACTAACACACCGAACACCCTAAGATCGTATGTTACCATATAGCCGATATGGCCATTTAGCACCCAGAAAAAAAGCACGCACTTCCATAGACTCAGCCCTAGACCCTACCCACAGCCCTCAACCGGAGGGCCTAAACTCCAAAAACCCCAAGACCCCTTCAAGAACCCTTACGGCCCTTACGGCGCTCCATACAGAAACCCTTTCAACGTTACGAAGACCCGCTAGAAAAAGCCCCACTTGGAAGGGCAGGGGACTTAGTAAGTAGGTTATAAGTGGGTTATAATTGGGGTAACTCCATTTAGGGTACTTATAACCCTACTTAAAACCTACTTACTAAGTCCCCTGCCCTTCCAAGCAGGAGGTCTCAGGCCATGGGGCCCGATAGGGCCTCAAGGAGTCGCACGATGGGCGTCAACCGCTTGCCGGAGGGCGTGGAGGAGTTTGAGCACCTTAGACCCCAAAGACTCCAATATCCCTTAATTAAGGAATATTCCTCAAATCATATTAAGGGTCCTATTATAATTTAAGGTATCTTCCTTAATATTAAGGGATATTGGAGTTTCTGGGACAATGCAAACAATGAAAGCCATTCTGACGGTAATGGTAGCAATGGTAATCACTGAGTCATGATGAGAAAATGAGCATCTTAGAGAGGTGTCCTTCTGATACCGACGGCTCGTCATAGTTGGAATTGGCCTTAGGCCTTATGAGATAGGATGACATAGGGTTTTTAGCACTGGCGCTACTTCGGCAGCTGATTCGAATCAAGAAATCCAGCCCCGGAGCCTTAGCCGCGATAGCCCTCACATCAGGCGAACCGAACTAAAGAAGAATCCCACAGTGAGGCCCTTCACTTCAACCTGTTGCCAAGTCTACGAAGGCGCGCCAGAGTGTGGAGGGATACGTTCTTTGCCAACAGCTCGCCTGCGTCTCAGGCAATACACGGCTGCTGGAATAAACCCTGCACGGTTCATCATCATTGGGAGCATTCCCATGGCTCAGGGTGCCCAAGGTAAGGTGTTTGATGAAAAGTATGTTTTCGTGTCGCCCCCGCTCTATTCGAGGATTCCATCGACTGGCTAACGTGACAAAGAAAACACGAAGATGGATGCTGAGATAGGGGCCTTAATAATTAGAATAGGGTTTTGGAGCCCCCAAAATAGTATTGGAAATTAGGCTTCTATATTACAAGAACATCGTGGAAAGGCATCGGACTTGGTGACGCCGTGCTGCCAGGGGAACAGGTTTTATCAAGCTGATGTACTCTTATGGCTGTTCATGTTCGGGGGCGGGGGTGGAAAGGCGGATCGAATCTGAAAAGCCTTTGTTCTCAAAGAAGAAATGCGATCGGAGCTTCAACTATGCGGCTGCTGAACCTGCACACTAGGCCCAAATCCAAACTCAAGCTCCCGGCAAGCCTGAAACCGAAAGACCCTAAACCCGAAAACTCCTGCTCAGGTCCCGTACAGGATCTTACGGAAATCTGAAGCCCTCTGAAAACTCTGAAAGAGCCTATGGTCGCAAAGCATTGCTCGTCGAAGGAATTCCAGCTCAGGTCGAGCAGCTGGAGCCTTAACACAGGGCCCTTAATAATTAGAATAGAGGTCCCTTTGAAGGGCGCTACGTACGGGATACTATAAGTTTAATCATATTAGGGAACCCCAAAAGAGTGTAGGTAATTATTTAGGCCCTTATATTCGCCGTCGGGACTATGGTCGTAGGTTTGGAGATGCGTTTTTTCCTGGCTGGGGGATAAATGCTATGGGGGATGCTGTTGCGACTAGCGTACTTTGGTGTCGATATTTTGTCGATTACAGCCATGACTGTGTATACTGATTGTACTGTGTTTACCAAGAACAATCCTAGGTCCGACCATTCCTCCAGCTCGTGAACTTGTAAATGTTGTAGCACAACTTTGGACTTGGCTTCCCCATGCAGCTGGCAGTGCTTGAAGATGCCGCGCCGTGCACTCTCACTCCATCTGCTTATGAGCTACTGCTCTACACCAAGACTGTTGTCACAAAGCGAGTGCATCATTAACTCAAAGGGGAAAAGGAGGGACCCTTAATGGGGACCCCTACCCTATAATGGGCTATATATTGGGTATATAACAGCTATATCAAGGGTATTTGCCTAGGGTCCCTCCTTTTACCCTTGGATGAAGACACCAAAGGCCTATCCAAGCCTAAGCTTCCATCATCCTTCGGACCAACTATGCCCAAAGACCTGTCGTTGGCGAGCAGAACATGCAAGCAGTCCTTGGTATGCGGGTTATACAGATTTGGGGTTTCTGATGCTTTCGCTCCATTGTAGCGTACAGGATCGCATTTTGTTGGGGGTAGTCTTCTTTTTGTTCCGCTATGTTAATGGAATGCCAGGCTCTCGACAAGCTCCGACGTCAGCCTCTTCAAGGAGCCTAAGCCTAAACGGGCACCGACTGCATGAGCTCATCGGGACCTTTCATTCAAAGTCCTTGCAGGGTGGAGAAGGAAACTTGGTTGGTCCCAACCCACAGCACACTTGACCAACTGACACCATGGAAGGACCCGCTTGGTAAGCTACAGCAGTACATGCTATTACGGCTGAAAACATACTACGGCTTCGTAGACATACCTCAGCCGGATGCAGACACGCGGCACGACCAGAGATGTTCGTGTTGGCCAACTTCAATTCGCGCAACTCGTCGTGCTCCCCTGGGCCAGGGTATGGTGTAGGGTATTGGGAACACGCAGCACGTTCAGCGATGTGCCTGGCCTCTGGATCTAGAGCGACCCAATGCCCACGTCCCAAATCCAACGCATACAGCAAGTCCTTGAAAGCGCAATCTATGATCTTACTGCTCGTCTACATGCGAACGCCATGGCCGCGGCAACCATCAGGACAGTTTTGTGCTGTGGCTAAGAGTACCCGTCTCCCCAGCTTACAGCCCTAAACTCCAAATCCTTGTACCAGACCCTAAACCCTGACGCCAAAGCGACAGCCTAGATCCGAACACCCAAAATCCCAAACCCGACGCCCTACTGGCGCTAAATCCGAAAGTCCAGATCCTACTGCAAACAAATGTTGCCCCTAAACCGCCTATAAACCCTAAATCCTGAACCCTAAACCCGAAACCGCAAAGGCCCCGGAGTGCAGCTTGAGGCACGGATAGTGCCGGAGATGTGCACTTGGGCTGCCAGGCTCAAGCGGACCCCACTCAGATCTAAAGTTCCTCGGGTGGAGGGCTACGGGAGATCTCTAATTATAGGGGTCTTGTTGAGAATTCGATCGGGGTTTGGGGGTGCATTGCAGTTCAGGGATAGCGATACTATTTACTCACGGGCGGGGATGTCAGGGCGTTAGGGTGAGGGTTGGGGGGTTGAGGCGTTGTGGCTGTGGGTTTTGGGCGACAGGCAACCACTTCTGCTGCGCTTAAACAATCTTGGGCTACAAAGTCAAAGTGCTTGACCGGACGCACTGAAGTAGCCGCAAGGGAGAATTAATTCCGCCATGCCACGCAGACGTGCAGCCTGATCACCTTCGTCACTGATGTGGTGGGGCCCATTTCTCTCGGCTACTATGTGGGTAGTTGTCAAAATTATGGTTCCTTTTTGGGTCCTTGTTATAATACGGCACCTCATATTTAGGGTACCAAAAAAGGCCACAATCTTGACGACCACCCATGTAGGGACACCTAACAGAAGACCGACATATTCGCATCACGAAGGCTGAAGGCAGCTTGGGAGTTGAAGAAGCCAGCAACATTCCAAAAAGGATTGTCACATGGTCCGAAGCTGCTACGGCCATGACGACTACAGTCAATGGCATTTAGTGTATGATGCTGCTGACTCTTTGTGGGCTGTTCTTTATCTCTCCTGTTGTGGCTGCTAGCACCGTAAGGTCCCTGCTCCATTTTGCTGCAAGAACCCCTGTGACCTTCGAAGTAGGGTTTCGACAGCGAGCGCAACCCATCAAAAATCAAAGCAGGGACGCTCGAAACCCAAAGCTGAGGGAGGTTTAGGGCTTGGGATTGAACGTAGCCGTAATATCGGGGCCTTAATAATCAGAATAGGGTTTTGGGGGGATATTATGCCATAATTATTGTAAGGAACCCCCAAACTGGTATAGGTGATCATTTCGGATATTAATAGCCAGCGGCCCTGACCCCAGACTGCCTCAAAACTTTACAGGCATAGCAGCTTTCCACCAGCGATGCCAATTTCGTTGCCGTCTTCAGAGACAAAGCATGACCTGAATACTAGTGACGATGATGACAGCCGTGATAGTGTCATAACGATGCTGCAACAATGATACGAAGAGTTACGACAAGTATGGCAATTCTGATCATGTCACAACAACAATGGCTTAAATTAAAAAATGACAGTGTGCATTAGGAAAACCATAAGAGCAATAACAGTATGAAGACTTGCGATGCTGAGACCTACTCAATGCGAAGGAAAGTGTGACAGGTTCCCCGAAGTATGGTGACTGTCTGCCCCCCCCCCCCCCGGAAAAACGGAACTCAACTACAGCCGGCCGGACCCCGGCTCGTAGTGCATGGGGCAAACAGACGCGACGTAGGCCTTCTAAACATTCCAAGCGGTTGCTCCGCATCCTGTTGCATACAACTCGCAACCCAAAGCATGACGCCCCAAACCCTGGATGTTGCCTGCAATCCTAGGCCCTGGGCTTTCAGCCCAGATACAGTTGGCCAGGCTGAGTCTGGCAACGGTGGCTGGCAGCTCTTGGCGAAGCAACTGGGAAGGTTTGGAAGGAGTTAGGTCGCAGGATTCTGAGAAGAAAGTCGTAAACAAGAACAATGATGACGTGCCACGACGTTGTTCTGATACAAGGATGGTGATGGGAATGCTATGACGAAACTGTGGTGATGCTCTGATGCTGCATTGTACAGGCGTTGCTGCGAGTCATGTTTTGACCTTGTCACAACGTATCACTCTAAATACGGGCAGTGCTGATGCTTGGCAGTGTTCTTGCTGTTGGTAGTGTTGTAATCACTGTGCACAGTACAGTTGGTATGAGAAGGACGTCGAGGTCATGGCTTTGCGGAATGTTACAACGACAAACACAACCAGAACAACCAAACCTGTAGCCTGAACCCCAAACATTAAACGCCAAATCCTAACCCCTTCATCCCAAACCTGTGCAGTTTGCATGAAGCCTCGGGTCGGAGACAGGGGAGCTCCTAACTTTGGGATCCTGTTAGATGATAACTCATAAGACTATGGAACAACAAAGATCTAATGAGGCTTCTACATGTTTCAGGCGGCCATGTTAGGGTCCCCTGTTTTCTGGAACACCCACATTTAGGAGCCACGGCGCTGCATCCAGAAACGGCGCCATGGACTTGTCCGTAAGCAGCGGATTGTTACCTGAAGCTTTAGACAATGTAGCGGCTTTAACAATAGCAGGGTTCATGCTATAATGCTATACTCATAATCAGGAATTCGAACCCTAAGGCCTATAGAGTTAACACTTCACGTCGGGCCGGGCTTATTTCGGTGACCCTCTACACTTGTCTCCGGCTGGCACTACTTCAAGAGAAGGGCCATTGTTCGGGTGTCTTTCTGACGTGCTCCCAAGGTGGCCGGATTTTGTTAAGTACTTATTTTCCTTTCTGCTCATTCTCAAGTTTGTAGACTTCAGCAAGTTAATTCAGTAGAAGATACCAGCGAATCAGTTCAGTAGAAGATATCAAGAGGATGCGTCAAAAGATTCCGCAATACCCAACCCTCCCTAAACCCTTCTACTTCTACCGTAGTTACTTCTACTGCACAACTGTATACATATATATACATATATAACCATTGTACGAGCGGATTACCAATGTACAACTGTGCTACTTCTGGCCCAGGAAGCACACTCAGCACTAAACCCAGTGCGCTCTTATTCACTCTGGTACAGTGAGGGCAATGAGGGCTAATTACGGTTCTGTGATTACTGCAAAGGCTTAACGCCTGCGGGGTTTGAGTCGGAACCGTCAACGTGAATCCGAACGTGCCGACGAGGACCCCCATTTCAAAACCCACCACCTCAACATTGAAACCCGCAAGCCCGAAGCCGCAACGGCCGTAAAAACGCAGCGATCCTCAGCAACAACAACGACAAGAAGCGCCTCGAAGATGCATCAGGCAACAACATCGCGGTCTTACTGAAATGAGAGGATGCAGTAGCGCTGAATTGCCCTTGGCACCGTCATGTTTTCCCGAACCCTAAACCCTAAATCCTGAAGCCTTCAGCCCAAAACCTACAACCTTAAGCCTTGACAGTGACAACCTTAAGCCCAAATCCGAAACCTTGAAAAATCTTAAGCCAAAACCCTGAACCTTAAGCGAATACCAGGACAGCTGCTGAGGTCGATCGCCTTCGCTGTTGCCACCCTGCCGAGCATTGCGGTGATGGCTCCGAGGTCCTTGTCCTCACAGGGAAAAATGGGGTTGGGGCTATAGGGTTTAGGGGGTTTAGGGTTTAGGGGGTTGAGTGTTGGGGTTAGAAGTTTCGGGAGTAAGTAGAGGGGTTTGGAGTTTAGAGTTCGATGTTTAGCAGGGTAGGGCTCAGCTTCCCAGACGAGGCACCTGCTCAACAGGCAGCTGCTAGAAAAGATCCTTACCTAGTGCTGTAGAGGCCTTAACAATTACGGAAGAGGGTTTGGGGGCCATTATACTATAATCATAAAAAGGAGCCCCAAAATTGTATTGGTAATTGTTGAAGCCCGTATAGTAATCTTCACAACCTTCGGCCCCAAAAATCCTGCACTGAAATGAGGCGGAATGGGATCTGCTGGCCAGCGGTCCATACTCTCCAAAACGCATATGGTCCAAATGTTTGCAGGGGATCGGGCTTCATATGGGTGGTTGTCAAAATCGTGGTCCCTTTGGGGGTCCTTATTATAATACGGCACCTAATATTTAGGGTACCCAAAGAGGGGCCAGAATCTTGACAACTACACATATGGCTTTGAGATCGAGATTTGGATATTGTCTAGCTTGGAGTTTGCTTGACTGCGTTGAGAGCTTACATCTTGAAGATTGGTCTCATGGTTTTTATAATCGCTCATGCTCTGCAACGAGGCATCCATGAGCAGCTACTGCCTCTTTGGGCTGAATACTACAAGTACTACAACATTGTCGACTGCAACTCCGAAACCTGCCCCCGTGTCTTGGTCTTTGAACTCCAGACTGAACATGTAGAATGACCCTGCACCCCTAAACTCTACACCCTAAGCCCTAAACCCTTAAACCTTAAACTCGAAGCCCCAAGCAGGCCGAGTCTCCGTGAGTTCGCGACTAGCAGCCTCGAGCTTCGCAGAATGGCCCGTAAGGAACGGCAGCCTCGAATCAGGGGGTTCGCTTCGTGTTTTTGGCGTTTGAAGGCTTTTTCCCTCCGCCCCGTACCAGCATTTCTGTGGAGCTTGAAGGTTCTAAGCTCAGGGTTCAAGTTATGACCTAAATGTCGGTCTAGGCTGGGCTTTCCTTACGACCAGCACATCGAAAGGCAAAAGGCAAGCCTAAAATGGTGGTGCTCGGCCTGCGCGTTATGCACAAACTTGTTCACTGAATTGCCTCACGAAGCCTGTTTGTCTTAGGGTTTGCGGCCTTACTCCTGAAACAACTGCTGAGAAGATTGGTGCTAAGGCTCCAAACGTTTCGAAACCACGAGACCGTACAGCCTTCAAGCATAAAAACTTTCTTGGGCCCAGTGGCAGGTCCGGGAGCACGCCTTCGTCTAGGCAAGTCCTTGCGAGAGATAGCGGGTGAACTCGAGATTTGCCGGATCTAGAACTATTGGTTGGTGGTTCTAGTGGCGCGTGTTGTGTTGTGCCTAGGCTTTGAAACGGCCTGTAGGATTTATGGTGTAGGTTTATCGGTTTGGAGCTCTGGTCTCTGAACAGGCTTGACAGTGTTTGTTAGCAACTGCTTTCTGTTTTTCGAGTCCACCAGCCCACACAGCTAAGGCAGCTAAGCAAGTTGGCATTCAAATCGGCTTTGGGGTGTCTTCAAAGGGCACCAGAAGCTAAGCGGTCAACTGGTACCATTTGCTGGGCTGTCGTTTACGTCGCAGACCCAAAACCAGGGCTTTATAGGACTCCGGACAAGGTCTCATAGGGAAGCGCCCAACATGCGGTAACTTTAACGCAATGTATAAGACTTTGGTCATGTGACCGACTGTAGTAGTACGGCGACGACTACCACGACCACTACCATGCACAACACCACCCGGAAGTACCACACCTGCTTCACCTCACCACGACTACCGGTTACCACTGTACTTCTTACAGAACAGCGGGACAACATGTGAAGCAATGTAACTATAAACAATGGTGAAAGGATCGATGGTGACAACAATACCCAGGGCAATGACGCAAGCCTAATAAAGGGCCTTAATAATTAACATAGGGTTTTGGGGCCCACTACACAATAATCATGATAAGGAACCCCAAAGTAGTAGAGGTAATTATTGAGGTCCCTATATTAACAAGTACCTGATGTGGACACAGACCTACTTCCGGCAGGAGAAGAAGTCCCAGGACAACCTCCACTTTGATACCAGGAACGCAAACCTAACATAGGGGCCTCAGCAATTAGAAGTGGGTTTGGGGGCCCATTATGCTGAAATTTTGAGAAGGAACCCCCAAAACAGCATGTGTAATTGTTAGGTATTAGGGCCCCTATATTAAACCTTGCAACTTGGACTGCAAATGCAACCCTGAACCCTAAACACAGCTCCAACCGACCTCAAGTATTTCGCGGCCCCCGGATTGCACTCCACATCTTGCTCGCGCTCGGGATTCCAGTAGCTTCCCTGTCGGAGAGGCGTGGACGTGGAACTTGGGACACGCTGTGCTCCTGCTCCGTGTAGGGTAAAATCCGGCTGTGCATGGTGCTGCTATGAAGAGTCCTTCACCAAAGCCGTTCCTTCAGGTAAGAAGGCTAAATGCTGCAATGACCCAGCTTTGCCCCTCCCCCCGCCTTCTGAAACAGGGGCGGCAGTCCATGGGAAGTGGTGCGCAGGTTGCGGGCCGGCGGCTGCCCGGCCGCAGGCGTAGTAAAGGGAGCCTCCGGATGTAGGGCGGGGGCTTTTGTAGTGCTACTTTTAAGTCCGAAATTGTCTTCTCGCTTCAGCGATTGAGCAGGCGTTCATGAGAATTTAAATTTTGCGATGTGCCTGACAAGCCAAAGCCGCCTTGAAAGCTTCGCTAAAGCTCTGTGAAGCTGTAGTGCTTTATTTGTTGAGGCCACGAACGGTTCAATCATACATTTGAGGGGAGTTCGGGGTCTGGATAGGGTGCCAGAGCATGGCTGTGTAGGCTTCTCGGCACTCAGGGGATTGAGTTGCTACAGCTTGCCTTGGCGCTCCCCCGATCGTTTTGGATATCCCGGACCCCAGCTGTCTTAAACGCTGTGCCCGAGTTACCCCAAATCTCCAAGCATTACATATCGAACCCGTACAACACTTTGAAGTTGAACCTTGGTAAAACCTCATTCATTGCAGATACCTTTTTAAACATGATACAACATTATTACGTTTATCGTGATGTTGGTGCTATTACTATACAGGCCCGTCCCTTAATGACCTGCCAGGTGCGCGCCAGCTCCCGCCGCACGTTGCGGTCGAAGATGCGATCGGGACACGGATCTCTGCCATCGGCCACTCCTCATAGGGCTTCGGTGTTCACGAGTTCGTGTTGAGGGTTTGAAGGCTGAAAAGGGTTGAGGGTTCGGCGGGTTTCGGGTGTGTGTTGGGGGTTTTTAGGGGCTTGGGGTTAAGGTTTAGGGTTGATGAGGCTTGTGCAGACGCATCGTAAAGTTGGTACGGGGCTCGCGAGCTCTGCCAAGTGGTTTGCAGACTGCCCTACCAGACTTTGTACATGGCTTCCCGTCAGGCTTTTACTAAGGCTTCCAACCGGTTTTCATAATTTAGATGACTCTTACGGACAGAACGCCACAACTATGCATCGTAATGTGTGAAGCACAAACTCTTGGATTGAATGCTGACCGTTGCAGCCGTCTTGGAATGCGGAATGTAGAGGGGTGGGTCCACATGCTTCGAGTGATGACATCTGGCTTCTCACTCACACTTAGGACTTCAGATGCCCGTTGCCAAAGACCGTAGATCCTCAAGGTTTCGCTGCCGCCGAAAGCTGCCCCGATCAGGACTGCCATTCCACAGCCCTGAACCTTGATAAACTAGGAGCCTTCATAACTAGAATAGGGCTGTGGGGTATACTACAGTATACTAAGAGCATTGACCACGACAATAACCCCCTCCTGTCCCAACAGCTACACACGACAGTTGCTTCAAGCGTCTCTTCTTGTAGAGCGTAGAGTGAAGGTCATCCTTTCGGAAAGTCATGAGCTGCTTCACCAAGCCTGATACACAGAACAAGTTTCATCTGCACTGTATGAGGAAGACCTGCCATTTTCGTCGGCATGTTGTCGTACAGCTGCATGTGTGCAAGCATGCTTGTGTGTGTCTGTTTTCTACACATACATAGACAGGCATGCGAGCATGCATACCTACCTATCGCTCACCTAAATATGTACCTACATATATTTATACGCACATACATACAAACGTGCATGCATGCATGCATGCCATATTCAAGAAGTCAGGCTATTCATCTTTGCAGGAACGCCCAACCACCCATTCCCCCCCCCCCCCCCCCGCGGCCGCCCGCCCACACATGCAAGCCTGCACGCAAACGTACATGCATGCATACTGCATACCTGCGAACATGTACCGATACATATGATGAAGAAGAGGGATAAGACAGATGTTGCATGCACATGTTCATTCAAGCATCAATCTGTTGCAACCTGTTGGCGTTGTCTGCGGAGTTTCGGCAAGGGTGCTTAAAACATCCGAAAAGCTTGAAAACCCACCGAGTCCCCAAGCCCCAACCACCCAACCGCTGGGAGTTCACCCCCAAGGCCTAGAACCTGAACATTTAAAATAAAACGGGGATCGATGGAGGAGTCAGACATCATAGGAACAGACACAGAAACCCGAAGAATAGAGGAGAATTTCAATGCAGGGCTCGAGGACTTGTTTTAACCCGCCCCAACCTCTAACCGAAGCAACGATCCAGAACCAAAAACCCACAAGCAAACTCAACAATTCTCCAGACCTTCCTGGATCCAAACTCCCAAAAGCGTCGGGGACCCTATATAGAGAATAAGCTCCAATTACCTAAGCTTCGAAAAACCCTCCAGGCCCCAAAAAACCCTCCAGGCCCCCCCCCCCTAAACCCTAAGCCCTTCTAGGGTTTAGGGTTTAGGGTTAAACCCTAAGCCCTAAGCCCTTCTACCCCCAAGCCACAGGTTCCTAAGGGCCCAGCCTCGATTGTCCTCCTCTTGGGGCATCGCACCCACTGTGGTTGCCATGGCCTGGGCGTTGTTGGGTAGGATACGGACCCTTAATCATTGGAATCGGGTTTTGGCGGAAAATAAAAACTATATGAACATAATAAGGGACCACGAAAATACTATTGGAAATTATGAAGGCCGCTATTTTCGGGTTTTCGGGATTACGTGTGGGGTGTTTGGGCTGGGGTTTCGATTTAGGCGCTGGGCTCATGTTCGGGCCCTCATGCATTCACTTTTTCTGCAAGTACGAGGGAGCTTCCAATTGAGATTCAAGGTGGTGGCCCTCGGGGCAAAAGCCGAGGACTCGCCCCGATTAGAGAAGGTGTGCGGTTTGAGTCTATTTGCGTTGAGGAACAGGGGTACATAAATCAACCGAAGCTCACCGTAAAAGCTGGAGGCTGCCAAAGCCCTGACCTTATCTTGAGCCTTTGCCTGGACCCCCCCGAGTATGTAGGCTAGTAGCCTTGGTATTGGTGTTGGGCCATTATTTCAACTACTTTTGGGGGTTTAAGTATGCTCAAAAACTGGGGGCCCCCAATTCAGACATGGGACCCCCGAAAAGGCGGACCTTGCTTCTGGAAGGCCACCCCAAAAACCCCAAAATTCGAGTTTCCAACTCCTACCTCCTTTCTAGGGTTCCCTATTATGTTATAATTTCCTTATAGCTTATAGGAGTCCTTAGATAGGCTACGTTATTTGGGGTTTAGGTAGCCTTTGCATCTAGGTTTGCTTCAAGCCGGAAGCGCTTGAAGTAAAGAAGCCTGATCCCCCTGCACCATTTTCTGGTTCAGCACGGTCACCAGCTGCGGTGCAGACATAGTCAGGCTCTGTGTATAAGACCTTGCGCAACCGGAAGCCACACAAAGAAAGGAAAACTGGTCTTGTCCACACGGGATACTAAGACCCTAAACTCTGTACCCTGGCAGTACGTGCAGTTCAGAAGTGAGGACACCTGACCATGAAGATTTGCACAGGTGCCGGTGGGTTCATAGCCTGCTGTGAGTCGTCTGTTGCAGGGGGCAGATTAAATTCGAGAACGGTTCAAGGTATACTTAGTCTACTTGCAAGTAACAGCAGGGACGAAAAGAGATGCCCGTAGCCTCTGTTGCTTGGATTTAGCTACATGCACCTCCTTCTGAGACATTAAGCCACCTGGAAGCCCAAAAAGACACTTCATTCTTCATCTTGCATTTTTGTCGTTGCCGCTCTAGGCTTTGAGCCACTTTGCCAGCCACAAAGCTCTGAGCATTAGGAAGTCGGGTTTGAAGTTCGGAGGTTTGGGTTTAGGGTTTAGCTCTAGGGTTTAGGGGATTTAGAAATTTGGGTTTATAAACTGGTGTCAAGTTTAGGAAATCCCTACCCTTCATGCAGGAATATATACCCTAATCATAACATTGTAAGTAAGCGCCCTATGTTTCAAGATAGATGCCTTCTATCAAGCCCCTATAACTTCTTGTGTGTTCTTCGTATTAAAAGCTGCAATTATCAAGCCCTTATAACTTCAGGTTCAGGTATGTTTTGCCGGTCTCTTTGGGTATCGTGTCAAGCCGCGCAGAGTTGCGACGAGAAGCCGCCACTGAGTGCCTCGCATGGGCGGCAGGCCAGGCGAAGGGAAAAGGGCTTTCACGAAATCTTCGGGTCCTTCGGAATCAGGCTTTGGGTTTCGGAGTCAGGTTTTGAGGCGGCGCGTCAACAGGCAGGAGAGGGCTGCGTACTTCAAACAAGACGTGACGTTGCAGTCACCGGTTGGGTGCAAGAAAAGGGCACTTCACATGCAGAACTTTTGGCTTGGGGGGTAGATTGCTGGATAAGGCAATACGAGAAGCAAAGCACCGGTCGTACCCACAAGACACACAAAGACCGAGTAGCTTCAAGAACTACACGACATTGCTTGGGATATACAATTTCAAACCCCTCCCCCTCCCCCTCGTACCAAAACAGAAAAAACATCCGAAGGCGACCTGACAGCGAGATGAAAGATCAAAGACGAATACTGATGCAGGCATGTTGGCGGTTTTAATGCCTTTCCGACTACAATACAGCGGAATATACGTCCTTAAACAGGTGGTCTTTGTTGAACCCTCCAGCAGGCTGTAAACGCGCAGATTGCGCGTCTCCTTTGACTCGGTATTTACAGTGTTTCCTTCGTGTCGCATGGCAAACACACCGGTAATTACGGTGTATCGGGCACCTACTGAAACGCAAATTTTGCACCTGCCGTTTCCCTCGGTATGTACGGTGTTTCGTTGGGGTCACATGCCGAACACACCGGTAATTACGGTGCTTTCGGCACATGCTACAGTCCACGTCAGGCCACCCATAGAGCAGACTCCATCCATCCATCTTGCAACCGTGATAACGTCCAGATCAGACTCCATCCATTCCCGCAGAGCATCCATGTGGCAACCATGATCACGTCCAGATCAGACTCCATCCATTCCCACAGACCATCCATGTGGCAACCATGATAGGGCGTCCAGATCAGACTCCATCCATTCCCGCAGAGCATGCATGTGGCAACCATGATAACGTCCAGATCAGACTCCACCCATTCCCGCAGAGCATCCATGTGCCAACCATGATAACGTCCAGATCAGACTCCACCCATTCCCGCAGAGCATCCATGTGGCAACCATGATCACGTCCAGATCAGACTCCATCCATTCCCGCAGAGCATCCATGTGGCAACCATGGTCACGTCCAGAGCAGACTCCATCCATTCCCGCAGAGCATCCATGTGGCAACCATGATCACGTCCAGATCAGACTCCATCCATTCCCGCAGAGCATCCATGTGGCAACCATGATCACGTCCAGATCAGACTCCATCCATTCCCGCAGAGCATCCATGTGGCAACCATGATAACGTCCAGATCAGACTCCATCCATTCCCGCAGAGCATCCATGCGGCAACCATGATAACGTCCAGATCAGACTCCATCCATTCCCGCAGAGCATCCATGTGGCAACCATGATAACGTCCAGATCAGACTCCACCCATTCCCGCAGAGCATCCATGTGGCAACCATGACAACGTCCAGATCAGACTCCATCCATTCCCGCAGAGCATCCATGTGGGCAACCATGATAACGTCCAGATCAGACTCCATCCGTTCCCGCAGAGCATCCATGTGGCAACCATGATAACGTCCAGATCAGACTCCATCCATTCCCGCAGAGCATCCATGTGGCAACCATGATAACGTCCAGATCAGACTCCATCCATTCCCGCAGAGCATCCATGTGGCAACCATGATAACGTCCAGATCAGACTCCATCCATTCCCGCAGAGCATCCATGTGGCAACCATGATAACGTCCAGATCAGACTCCATCCATTCCCGCAGAGCATCCATGTGGCAACCATGATCAACGTCCAGATCAGACTCCATCCATTCCCGCAGAGCATCCATGTGGCAACCATGATAACGTCCAGATCAGACTCCATCCATTCCCGCAGAGCATCCATGTGGCAACCATGATCACGTCCAGATCAGACTCCATCCATTCCTGCAGAGCATCCATGTGGAAACCATGATAACGTCCAGATCAGACTCCATCCAATCCCATGGAGCATCCATGTGGCAACCATGATAACGTCCAGTTCAGACTCCATCCATTCCCGCAGAGCATCCATGGGGGCAACCATGATAACGTCCAGATCAGACTCCATCCATTCCCGCAGAGCATCCATGTGGCAACCATGATCACGTCCAGATCAGACTCCATCCATTCCCGCAGAGCATCCATGTGGCAACCATGATCACGTCCAGATCAGATCTCCATCCATTCCCGCAGAGCATCCATGTGGCAACCATGATCACGTCCAGATCAGACTCCATCCATTCCCGCAGAGCATCCATGTGGCAACCATGATCACGTCCAGATCAGACTCCATCCATTCCCGCAGAGCATCCATGTGGCAACCATGATCACGTCCAGATGAGACTCCACGTCCCGGGCGGCACGAATCCATTGATCCCTTGCCCTAAACCGCAACCTAAACATATGGCCAGGAGGAAAGGCGAGCGACGTTTCAGGCGGTAGGATTCCCTGGGCCTCAAACCCCAAGTCGTAACCAGGAGAGGCGAGCGACGTCCCAGGCAGTAGGACTTCCCAGACCCTGTTACCCCCAAACCGAAACCAGGAGAGGCGAGCGACGTCCCAGGCAGTAGGACCATAGACCCTGTTACCCCCAAACGAAACCAGGAGAGGCGAGCGACGTCCCAGGCAGTAGGACCATAGACCCTGTTACCCCCAAACCGAAACTCGGAAAGGCGAGCGACGTTTCAGGCAGCACGAATCCAGCGACCCTTTACCCTACACCGCAACCTCACCCAATAGCTAGGAGGACAGGCGCGCGACGTTTCAGGCGGTAGGGACTCGTAGCCGTTAAACCCTAACCTGAAAGTTAAGCAGTAACCCCCAGGACAGGTGGAACATGTAAACTTTCGGGTGTGGGAGGCACAAGACTCTCAATCGCTATGGACGTGCTGGCTTCTTTCAATTTCCTTTTCTCGGCTCCTGCGGTAACAAGAGCTGCAGTGCTGGACATGTCGGAATTCCCATTAAATAAAAGATCAGCTTGCGTATGCACAAGTCCAATCCATAACTCCATGGCTTGCTCTTCGTTTTCTAGCTTTCGCGGACCGCCATGTCGGGGTCAAACACATGGCTGTTCGACTGTCCCGTGCTGCTGGAGGACAGGTTTCTCCTTCCATCCCAAATTTTTGACGGTTTCAGCTTCCCGCCTTCAGCTCACGAGCGGTTTTCCTTTGCCAGGAATGCGAGGCTACGTGGGATCGACCTTTTCTTCTTCCTGCTCCGACGACTGCCGCCGATGTCCTGACAAGCGACAGTGGTGGTTGGGTCGACATCTTCGCGGATCAACTTAGAAGTCCACTTGCGACGGACGAGGACATCTTCGGTTTCCTTAGGAGGTAGGTTCTGCGAAGTTCTTGAGCCGTTTGGCTTTGCGTCAGAGGAGTTCAGTGCCGTTTCGATGGACTCTTTGACAGAGGACGACGAAGTTTCTTGGCTTGAAGGGGATGCTTTCCAATGGTGGTGCTTCGCAAGAATGTAGAGCTTGGGTCAACTGAGCTGAGGACTCCGTTTCGCTGGACTCTTTGACAAGGGACGACGAAGCTTCTTGGCTTCAAGGGGATGCTTCCCAGTGGTGGTGCTTCGCGAGAATGTAGAGCTTCTGTCAACTGAGCTGAGGACTTTGTTTGCTGCACGGAGTCGGTGCAGGTCGCTTCGGTTTCTTCACCTGAAGACTCTTCCTTCTTTGTGGCTCCCGAGCTCGCAGCTTTCGTCGACAACTCTGTCTCCGAGGAAGACCGCGAGTTGCTGGAAGCTTGTTTCCAGGCCGAGGCAGCTTCGTCTGCGACCACAGGCTTCCACGACTCTGTCTCCGAGGAAGACCGCGAGCTGCTGGAAGCTTGTTTTCAGGCCGAGGCGGCTTCGTGCGCGGAGACCGCAGACTTCAGCAGTCCAAAGGGTGCCCAGCTCCAGCACTTCCTCTCTCACGCCAGTTCCGTTGCTTGGTTTCTCTGGCAGTGTTGAAAGTTTGCTCGTAGTGGTGATTCGCTTTTCTCCTTGCAGCGCTTGCTTGCAGTGCAAGGCAGAGATTGTGGAACCCCCCAATGGCTTTGACAGCCCCTGGTCGCGCAAGTTTAAGCAGTGGTACTTCACAAGCTACGTTCCAGGTCTTCGCAAGGAGACCAGCGCGGTCTCCGCGGACCAGGTACCTTGCCCCGATGACATTTCAGAGGTTTCCAGCCAGGAGGATTTGCCCCTTGATGACAAAGCACATGAAGGCCGACAGCGTCCTCGCGTGTTCGGACAGCGGCACTGGACTCACTGCTGCGTGGAAGGCTCCTTGGATATTCCTTGCAATGCAGAAACTCTCAAACGTAAACCCCATGCCTTGCTCTTTTGCCCTGGCGCGTAGCCTTTTCATTCTGATGCTGTTATCTAGGAGATGGAAGTTCCCGCAGCCCAAGCTCGACATGGCCTTGATGAAATGACGCCCACAGTTTCCTTCCCCGTCTCTGCCTTGAAGCCTAAACAGACTCGCACTCTCGAGAAAGCTGCTGCTTCAAAGAAGCCGGCGGCGTGCTTCTCTTCCAAGAAGAGAAATGTTCGAGTTGTGGGTGGTGATAATCAATGCGAGAGCCAGATTGCTGTCGGCAAGAACCAGTTGCGCAGGCTCAATGCTATGGGCAGAATGGCACCGCGCAATGCGCACACGACCCTTCTTTCTGCCCGTCGCCTGTTGCGAAAGCCTGGCTTGAAGCCCATTTTCCAGGCCTTGCGTCTTTATCGTACAGAGAGAGCGGGACTGCTGGGATGCGATCCGTCGCACTACTGCGATATGCAGCATGATGCAGCCTGGTTGTTCTGACGGAGCGAAAACGTGGAGGGTGCAGCGAAAGTGGAAAAAAAATTGGAACTTTTGCACGCCGCGCGGCTGCAGTGCAAGATACGAATCACTCGGCAGGGACGACTTTTGCAGCATTTCTTACCTAAATGGCGCGCGTGAACAGGCCGCTGGCGCGTTGTTGAAGGAAGGCTTCAGGGCTTTTTGGCTCTCGGGCTTCGGGGCGCTAGACCATGGGAATGCTTGGGAGGCCTGCCTGCGTGAGGGAGCGGGATCGCCATCGCCATTCAGGAGCCGCTCGGCCTGCAAAGAACCACGTTCAGTACATAGGTTAGACTTTTCCCGCTGCACCCGACTTTTTGCCAACCCTATAGCCCCCCAAACAAACCCAAACCCTACAAACCCTCCAAGCCCGAGCTAAACCGGAAGACGGTGAGCCGGCAACCCTGAGCACTCGGAGCCTTTGAGGGTTCCTTTCAGGCTACTATGAGGGGTCCTTTAAGGCTACTATCTATAAGGGGTTCTTTAAGGCTGCTAGATCCTTGAAGCGTCCTATAAGGGCTCTATAAGGCTATTCTAGCACTTGAACACTCCAAGTCCGGGCCAAGACCCGAACTGAAAGGCCTGACAAGAAAGCCGGAAAGACCCGGCGGAGGGTTTAGGGTTTGAGGATGTTTGAAGGTTTTTTAGGTTCAGGGCGTAGGGGTGACAGAAGGGCTTCGCATCTGAAGCCTGTAGCACCAAACTGCAAGGCCCATAGGTCGTTCGAAGCATAAGCAGAGTTACCAGTGCCTTCAACTGTGCCAAAAAATGGCTCAAGGAATGTTGTTTTACTGAGGCTTGCCCAACGCCTGTAGCAGGCCGTTGTTCCGCATACTTTTGGGGTCCAGGGTGCTGGCAACCCCCAGGATCCAAGCTACTTTGTGGCGACATACCATTTCGAATCGTAGTTATATATATATATATATGTATTTATTTATTCATTTACTTACTTATGGCCTGGCAGCACCTAGCCAGGGATCCTTGCAACATGGACCCATGACTCATGACCCCTAAGAAAGCAGGCTTCTTTCAACAATACGATTGATGGTCAGAGAAAACTACAGTTTTCGGTGTAGAGCCATTATTTTACCTACTGTTGAGGGTTTCGTTATCCATTATCTTTCTACCGGGAGCTCCCCCCAGAGTCTCACACACCTCCCGGAGATCTTTCGGCGAAACCACGCTTTCCGTCCTGGTGGGGTCGTGGCAAAGCCACAAGCCCCAGCGTTGCTGGCTCGGGTTTTAAGAATCGGAACCCTAGCTCCCACCAACACGGCAATGTTCTCACAAAACTGTAGCAGTACATAGGGTTCTCCATGGCGGCCACCAGCATCCGATCGCACTTCCGAGGGTGTGCGGCTTACGCTTCGGGTCTTGAGTATACGCGGGCTCAAACAAAGGAACACACACTCGACCTGCCCGACAACGTTGCAACCATGCTCGTCGGAGGGTCAGAAAACAGAGCCAAGACGTGTCCGACCCCTTAGCCCCAGCCCCAAACCCTTGAGACCTAAAGCCCGAAATAAGTAAGTACATAATTGCATAAGTATGTGGGTATGTGTATGTGTGTGCATATAGCATACGTACATATATATATATATGTACATATATATAGATATATACACATAATACACACACATGTATTACACACACCCTTGCAGCCTCTACCCAATCAGTGCCTCAGACCCTCAAAGCCAGGTCCTCTCTTGGCGAATCCGAACCAGCATCTCCTGGGTCGGCTTTTCAGGGATGCCCCCAAAACGTGGTTTTGTGCATCGTATAGGGGCCTTCATAATTACAAAACACGTGGTCTAGGGGTATATTATACTATAGTATAGGGGCCTTCATAATCAAAATGAGGTGGTCTAGGGGTATATTATACTACAAATATGAGAAGGAACCCCCAAAACAGTATAGGCAATTTTTAAGGCCACTAGATTAGGTACCTTAGTGCAACCTCAGCCAAACCACCTAAACTCTAAACCCTGACCTCCCGCAACTTGCCGAAAGGCGCGATCAGGACAAGAGCGAAGCAGAGGCAATGTGCTGAAAGTTTCAAAGCTACAGCAGCAGCAACAACAGGTGACTGCTCATGTGGCGTTTGTCCTACCACTACCACTACCACAACTACTACTACTATTACTACTACTACTACTACTACTACTACTACTACTACTACTACTGCTACTATCACACCCTAGATCACAACCATAAGGGAAGTTGAGAAAAAATCTCGAATTGCCCTTCCTACACCCTAATAAACTGAAACCGAACCTTGACCTTAAAGCCTCAAACCCTGAATCCTGAAAGCCCTAGATTAAAAGCCTCTCCTCCATCTGCCACTTGCTGGAACCCGGGGTCTCCGGCAACTCCTTGAAGAAGAGCCGCCTATTCTCGGGGTTCGAAGGCAAACGGGCTGGTATAGGAGTACTGTAAGGGTTTAGGGTTTAAGGGTACTACGCAGGAACAGGAAGGGTACTGCAAGGCTACTTGACGGGCAGTATCAGGGTACAAAAATAAGATGCTAGAAGGGTTCTGTACCTAGCAATAGTATACGGCATGCAAGGTTTGGGGTCTAGTGGTAAATGTCATTTATGGTTTAGGCTTTGCAGGTATCTTGAGTGTTTGTAGATCTTGGGGTGATATGCCTGTGGCTTCCGTGTTGAGGCTTCTTAGGGCCTAGTTTAGGGCGGCTGGGTGGTTTCCGGGCCCAATCTGGGCCAAGACGATCCGCAATCGTAGGTTTAAGCCCTCGGCAAGCCCGAAACCTTGTCACTTCAAGCATGTAAATACGAAAAGTTGATATCAACAGCAAGAACAATGTAGAAGGAGTCCCACAGAACCACCTAGATGCAAGATCTCAGGAGGAATATGATTTGGCTTCCAAAGTTTATGTCGTTGTCGGACGTAGAGCTTCTGGATTAGCCTCTACTCTATAAGATCAATGCCTGCCTGGCCGGCGGCGGGGGTTTCTTGGCCAAGTGTGGGAAAACGGCGAAGTAGTTGAAGCTGCCCGGTGGCAAAGCCACCACCTCGCTCAGAAATAATCTGGGTTTAGGGTTTAATTTAGGTTTAGGGTTCATACAAAATCTACCTGCTTGGTCAACGAGATACGAGGCAGTTTTCGAAAAACTGCAGTTTTCGAAGATCCAGAGGCATCGCAACACAAACCCGCAGTTGGCGGATACATACATACGTTGTCCCATAACCTGATTTCACCAGTCCCAAGACAAAACAAAACGTTCATCTCAAGTTGGCTCTAAACCACTTGGGCGGCTGACTCATGCAATCAAGATGCCAAAGAGTCCTTTGGTGTGCTTGAATCATCGTCTGCTTCGTATGCAGGAATTACCGGCGGAAGCACGATCCTGCCTGCTCAGCGAGATGGACTTCGGGGCGCCCAAATGCAGAATGATGCACATTTCACTTGGCTGTAGTAGTGTTTGTGATGGCTTGACGTTGCAAGCTTGAAATGATCGTAAACTCATCATGAAAGCTTACTTAGACCGAAGAAGGAGCCACAGGTCCTCATTTGAATGCCGACACCCTAAAACCTAAACCCGACACCCTTGCAAGGACATTCTAACTTCGGCGGCCCCCAGCCAAACGTAGAGCCCCACCTTCTCTCAAAGAAAAGGATCCTTGCCGCTTGAACATCAACGGACATGCAGTTGTTTGACTTCTAAACAGCTGGAACAGACGTCTAATTTCATAGAGCGGCCGGAAGATCGCCGTCGCAGGGTTGCAGTCTGAGTCATCATCGGCATCTCCTTGGCGCTTCAGGTGGCCAGTCACGTACATGCGCATGAACTGAGTTAACACCCCAGATGCGAGGGACATGTCGATAATCCGCGTGAAACCCCGTCTCATTCGGCTTCTCTGCACTCCGTGGAACGAATGAAGAGAAAGAATGAACAACCTCTACCCTCCATAAAGCCTCAACCCTAAACCCTAAATCCTGCATTAAAGCCTCAATTCACCGGATATCGATAAGGGCTACTAAAACCGGCTGATATATAGTGGTTGTCATCATGAGAAACGGGCTTTAGGGCCCATGGTACTATACTTGTAGTAAGGACCCCCACAAAAGAAATAGTCTTGGTAATTATATTAGATACTTAGGCCCCCAAATCGAGGTCCTAAACAAGCTGCTCTGCGTGTGGGGCTTGGGAAATCCGTAGACCTGACGCATGGAACAGGCCTGAAGTACATATACGAACACGGTGCCATCGAGTATTACTGTAGCAGCCCTAGAAAATGCACAATATACCTCAAAGCCCTATGCTAAGTATTAAGGCCCCTATATTACGAAGACTGCATCATCGAGCATTAAGACCTTCAACCGAAATTTAAACCCTTCTGGTACAGACCGCATCCCGTTCTTCAAGCACCATCATCTGCGATCTGCGTCTCTGACCATAACCTCTATGCATTTTCGGCATCATCTTCTTCGAGTAGGGGCTCGAGGACCCTGAGCCCCAAGCAGCTCCTTCAGTTGATTCGAGCATAGCTTCCTAGTCCATCGTTGGGACCGAATAAAATATGTATATTTCTGTTCCTTCTTGGGCTTAAGTACTCATAAACATGTAACATATGATCCAACTATGACAAAGCTTCGGGCACTGTCATTGAGGACATCTGCTGGCTCCACTCTTCATGGTCGGCAGCCGTCATCGCGGAACAGCCTCAACAGCACTCGCAGCGGCGAGGCCACAACGATTAAAGGTTGAGGGTCTTGGCGGTTGAATGGTGTAGGGTTAACATGTTGGGGCCTAGTGTAACTGATACCTTGGGATATGCAAGTACAGATAACTTAGATACCGTGCTTGTAGGTAAGGTATCCTTAAACCATCGAAAGCCCTTGCAAATCACGGCTTCTTGGAGCTTCATTTAACCTAAGGATACTAAGAAAAGAGTACAGTCCTTCCGATAAACCCTTCTTCTGGAAGCATAAACTATGTCAGCCAGCAAACAACAAAACATAAACAAAGTCATATATAACCCTGATAAGCAGCCCCATTACACCCGACAATCCCCCCCCCCCGCACAAACCATGAACCGAAGCCCTAAACTAAACGCAAACTCTAAACCCTACAAGCCCTAAACCCTATAAACCCTCCAAGTCCTAACCCCTACAAACCCTACAAAGCCCTAAACCGATCCGTGCACATCCATCCTTTATCAAAGCGTCGGCTGCGGCTTGGGCGATCTTTCCAGGAGGTGGAGGCGTAGCTCGGGCTGGGTGGGCTCCTGACGTTCACTGTCGGTTTAGGGCTTTGGGGTTCAGGGATTAATTACCTGGACCCGAAAGAACCTACCTGTTTAGGGCTTCTTACTATGGCTTCCTTTAATTGCATGTCCTTAAAAAGGTAAGTTATTCAGGGTCCAGGTATGGTTTAGGGGTTCAGGCCGTAGGGTGAAAAGGGACTGTTTAACTAAGGGCCTCGAGTTTCTGCGTTGTTGAGACTTGTTGCTTTTTCAGTTTGCTTTTTCCGTCCGACTAAGTTTGCTTAGGGGCCTTCCCTGATGGTGTCACTCAACTACCCTCTAGTAGGTATATGGTTTCAGGGTAGGATACCCTATAATAGACCATTAAGGGCTTAGGATAATCATATTCCAACTTTCTGGCTTTTACTTTAGTAGGTATACCCCCAACTACCAACCAAGAGGGACAAGAAAGTGCCTACTGGGCTCCTGGCGCCGTGGCTTTGGGGGCTTGGTGGTTGAAGGGTCCCAGGGTTTAAGGGCCCCGGGTCAGGGATTAGGGCTTAGGTTTTTTTTGAAGAGGGTTTAGGGATTAGGGTTTAGGGTTTAAAGTTTAGGGTTTAAGGTTCGAGGTTCAGGGTTTAGGGTTTGGGGTTTGGGATTAAGGGACAGGTTGCGGTTGGAAGCTTAGCTTGAAGAAGTTTGGGCAGTAGCAGTCCAAGGGCTAAAGACGTTCAGAGCTACGAGTTTCTCGGATTCACAGGTTCATAGATCCCCCTCCCTTGACCGCAGGGAAGGGGGGGGGTCCAAATTGCAAATGCTTCTTCGCCTAAGCCCTACACCCAACAAGAAACCAAAACACCAAACTCTGCATGCAACCCTAAGCCCTAAACTCGAAACCCCTAAAGCAAGCCACGGCTCATCTGGCTTGTGAAGGGCGAGGCCGTCGTAGACAGCGACGTTCGCTGTGCCGAGATTCCCTGCACGGAGCCCCGCTGCACCGAGTCGCGATGCCTGACAGGCATAGCTTGCAAGAAGTGTCGAATATAGCTGCCTTCAAGGGTCAAGGCTCCTCTATCTATCTATCTATCTATATACATATATATATATATACATATATATATATATATATATATATATATGTGCGCATGCCGAAGCCTTACCAAACCACTAGCTTCCAGGAGTTCACAGTTCACACTCGCAAAACACAGAAATAATGCCCTCGGTGGACCGGCTACCCGGTCATATCGATCAGGCCAGTCCAAATGCCACGGCACCTAGTATTTCGAATCCCTTCTAACTTCTTCGAATTCCCTCTGAAGCCTGAGCCAAACCCTATAAACTATAAACCCAACCGGGTAGGGGTCCGGCCCACCCATCCCTAGGTAGTATTATTAGCCCTTAAAGGGGCACCCTGAACCCTACTTCTGGCTCTCTTAAAAGGGGCCTTATTGAGAGGGTCTACATCCCCAAGGGTCCCCCTAATCCTATCACGCGGGAGGCGAAGCCCTAAGAGCAAAAACACGCGAAATCCGAGCTCCCGGCCCCGACTGCGAGGCTTGCGACAGCCGCTTGTTGGCAGCGCTGGGGCCTTACGAATTAGAATAGGGTTTTGGGTGCCATTATATAATACTATAATCACAATAAGGAACCCCAAAACCCATTATAAAATTATAATCATAATAAGGAACCCCAAAACAGTATAGGTAATGATGAAGGCCCCTATGTTACGCTCGGGAGGCTTTCGCAGCGGTGAGGGTTCAAGGTGCAGTTGCCTTGCGGTCAAGGCCTTATGGGAGCTTAGGGTGGATTTAGGACCTCTGGCGAAAGGTTGTAGGGTTCAGTTGTCGGGGTCTTCTGTCCAGCTCCAGAACCTCTTTGCGGGTCATAGAGCGTTCAAAAAATTGGTCCGCGGAGTACGCCTTTTGACAAGAACCTGCAGTACTGTCGGTCTGCGCACCTGGTGGAGGAGTCTTGCGAGGGCTTTCCCGCAAGCCCGCGAAGAAGTGCTCCAAGCGTGTATGCCTCCGTGATGGCACGAGGATGTAGATAGGATAATAGGCATTGAAAGAAGGCTTCCAAAGCGATTGAAGCAGTGACTCTACGAGGGGCTGCTGAAGCTCCATAAAAAACTACAACATGACGTCGATATGTGCTTCAGGATCTGCGGGCTACAGGCCTCATCCAGGCTTTGGGTACCCGCCCCCGCACTGAAAACCAACCCACTTTAAAGCTTTAGCATTGAACCCTGTCACCCTGAACTCTATAAACTCTGAACCCCCATCTTTCAAACCCGAACTCTAACCTGTGAACCCCAAACCTTGAACCCAAACCCCTGCAAAGGCTGAACACCAAACTTGCCAAACCCTAAACTCTAAACCTCCATGGAACCACGGAAGAAATCTCAAGGAAAAGGAACCCTAAACCCCCGCCTCTGGATCTGCCCCTCGTGCTCCACTGTCCGCCGGGCACGCCGGTGTTCTGCATCGTGCAAGCCGATCATCTGGGCCCGTAGGCCTGACACCTTCCACAAAAAGACTTTCCCAGGACCCTCCTTGTACCCTCAAATAGGGGTATATGGTCCCAAATAAGGGGCATTTAGGCTCTAATAGAGGGTAGATGGAGGGTCTAGGTCTTTCTCTTTTCGATGAAGGTTTAACGTCTTCAAAGCACCTGGCACCGAGGAAGACATCCTTTTTCTTTTTGTTGGGGGGCGGGGTGGGGGCGCGGTGGCATCTTTTCGAAGTCCGCAAGAATGCCAATGAAACATGAGGGCATCTCAGGGCCAAAATCAGTCTTCAACTGTACTTTGGTACTTCGAATCATCCGGCTCATAGGATTCTTTCGGAGCTCGCGTTGGTTGTGGAGATTTGGCTGTTGAGTGCAGTGGTTTGGGTTTGCTTCAGGGTTTCGATTTTAGGAACCTCCTGATAGGCACTCTATTTTCGGAGCTTCCTTATTCGAGGCCCCCATTTAAACCCGAAGTTGCAGAAGGACCCTGTGTTGTGATGGATTCTAGCATATCCAGTATTTTGCGAGCTTGGCCAAGAAGTTGTTCAAACTCCGGAACCAAGGACCAGAACGCAACGACCATGATGCAAAGCTGCTGCTTTACTGCTGTTGCTGTAGGGTAATATAGGGGCCTTAATAATTAGAATAGGGTTTTGGGGCCCATTATACTATACTTAGAGTAATTAAGGAACCCCCGAAATAGCATAGGTAATTGTTGAGGCCCCTATATTAAGGAGAACTCGCTTCTGGGCTTGGTCTGGTGGTCTTGGGGGGTTCGCATCGAGGCCTCAGTGTTAGGACCCCATTAATTACAAGGCTTTTTTTTTTTGAGCACCTTTTTCCGTCCGCCTAAGAAGCTTTAGGAACAAGGGTTTAGGGTTTAGGGTTCTAGTGGATCCTGGCCCATCCCTCTCCCTCTAAAAACAAACTTTTTGCGGAGGAGGCTTCGGGTTAAGTAAACCCTAAACCCTATTATACCCGAAAACCCTAGGCCCTAGACCCCTGAACCCTCCAAAAAATGGGTGGCCTGTCGCATGTGAGTGACCACGGCCGAAGCCACTGCCCAAAGGTCGCGGCTGTTTTTTGAAGGCTCCTCTTCGATGGCTCTTAAGGGTTTTCGTAGGGTTTAGGTTTCAGTACTGCTTTTGAAGATTGTTTGTGTTTTTTATGTTGCTTTGTCTGTCGAGTTTCGGATCACATGTCGCACGCTATTAAAGTTCCATGGTTTCAGGAGTTGAGTTTCTTCAGGTGCGTAGGCTTCAGTGTTCAGGGTTTTAGGGCACAGGGCTGGATCCTAGTCCTTGCTACCCCGAACTGTTCAAGGATTATTCTTATAAGGACTCCTGAAGATTGGGAATCGTAGTTAATCTTCCCAACACCACCCACGCAACAAGATTTTCATTGTAGCTTGCGTGCTTTCGTCAATGAGTTCCTCGTGCAGGGCAGTGCCTTCGATTAAGTCATGACGGCCATTCAACTAAGACAATACGGGACTCTAAAACAGGCCCCTGAGTAAGTAGTGCCATGAAAGCCCCAAGTTAGGGTACCCCTGCCCCGAATTCCAAGTACCTCGCCATCTTCTGTGACCTGTCCACTCTTCGAGGCAACGGCTTGGGGATCCTGATATTATGAGGTGCGAAACGTGTGGAGCACCTTCGCCGGGGGTCTTTATGGCTGTACTGCGAAGGGTTTATTTTTGTTCTCTAGGTCGCTTTGGAGCGTTTAGCCACGCTACATCTCCGGATTTGGGATGATTAATGTAGGGCCTTCATAGTTAGAAAAGGGGCTCGGTCTCCTTTATAGTATATTTACCGTTAGGAACCCTAAGAATAATATTGGGAATTATATTTCGGCCCCCAATATTGGGGCTTTGGGGGTGCAGGGTTGAGGCTTCACGGTTTGGTTTTTGCATTGAGGACTGTGGCTCTCTCCTGGTGCACCGCCGCATGGCGCCAAATTGACTGCAGCTCCTGTGTTCTGCTGCAGAGCTCAAAAAAACCTAAACCCTATAAAGATTCTTTTGGAGCTACAAACCTCCGGCTCAGCATCATTGAGGTGACTGCGGGCTTGAAGCTTGGATGTCGTCGTGCTCGTAGGTTTAGGGCTACATGTGTACACATATGCACAGAATATATGTATGTGCACACACTATATTTTATATCATTATGTGTGTTAAGCATTTAGCCGCAGTATCACACAAGATGAACACACAGCAAACTGGTCGAAGCTGCTCAAGGCCTTGTTCAAGCAAGCCCAAACGAATAGTCTCTGTAGAGTACCCCAGACTGCTCGTGAGAACTCATAACTAACAACACCCAACACGTCAAACCTTGCACTCATGAGGCCACCCCTCATTTCAATTCAACTAAAAGCACCTAAGCACAAACCGAAAACCAGCTCAGATCCGAACACTCGCCTTTAGAAACCCTTTTTGGAACTAAAAACCAACCCACCCAAACCCTAAACCTTAAGCCCAAACCGCGAACAGAAAAACACTTTAAACCCTGAACCCTGTACCCCTAAACCCTAAACCCTGAACGCTAAGCCTAAACCCTTTTTTTTTTTTTTTTTCATTTCTGGGCCTCTGCCCGGGCCAGCTCCAAAGCCCAGCGTCGTAGCGCGCCCGGCGTTCCATCCTCCACGCACAAGCTTGCCAACGGCTGAATCAAGGCTTCGCGTTCTGGGGCTACCGAGCTATAGGGCTCTGGTGTCATGAGTGAAAACATGTGTGTACATATATATATATATATATATATATGATATGATTTTTTCACGCACACACACACACACATATATATATATATATATATATATATTTTGCACATGTTTTTATGATGCATAGGCATAGGCTTACGGGTACGTCGTCTGTTAGGGTCGGATCACGGGGGTCTGAACAGGTTTGGATATACAGGGCTGCCAGGCTTTCAGGTTGCGGTTTGGGGCTGTAGCGTTTCAGGGGGAGGTTTGCGAAAGGAAAGGCTTGGTACGGCGAGGGTAGTGCTTATACACTGAATTACAGCTTTACATGGAAGCCTTTATCGCGATGGGCGCTCATTAAAGCAGTTTCGTGTTAGGTTTTAGTGTGATGACGTACGAAGCAATCCGCAAAAGCGAGCGGCGCGGCCACCACCCGGAGAGTGGCGATATAGTGCAGGACGCGAGACTTATCTCAGAAGTCAGCCTGGAGAGCTAACCGTCAGAGTGAAGTCATCCACTAGAGGTGCCTTAATAATCATACCAATAGGGTTGTGGGATATATTATACTATAAACAAAATCAGGAACCACCAAAATAGTAGCGGTAACTACTCAGGTCGCTAAAGTACCATCGAGCCCCGAAGCCTACACCTTGAAACTTAAGCTCTTAAACTGTATTCTCACATTCCTACACCCTACGCCTTACATGCCCCAAAGGATAATCCCGATTGCCCAAAGCACCAAGCATCCTAATGTAGGGGCCGAAATAATTACCAAGACTAGTTTGGGAGTTCCTAAACTGTACATTTATACTATAATCTACACCAAAACCCGATTCATCAAGGCTCCACAAATACATTTCAACCCAACTGCTGGCACATGCCTCCAGATCGGCAAGCCCAGCCTGCTGGAAGGGTCTGTCTATTGCGGAAGACTATAGGGTTTATGGTACGGGCCTAGGGTTTTTAACGGTTTAGGGCTAAGGGTTTGGGGTTTCGGGTTCATACCAAAGGATTCTGTAATCCGCTCCCCTTGAAAGGTAGTATGCGGGTCTTGTTAGGGCTTGTCGTGTTTTGTTCAGTCGTGTTTTGTTCAGGGTGCAAGGACAGGGTTGGCTGGAGCATGATCCCCTGAGACCCTGAACCTGCGTAACAAAGGAAGCAAGCCGAGACCCCGGAAACTCAAATGTCCTAGTCCCATGCCTGTGATCTTAAACCAGAAGCACCAGAAGCTTCTGTATACTACGTCATATGCAGTGACTTTCTGTTACATTATATGCTTCATTATGTATACGTACGTGTACATATATTATCTTTTCTCTGCTACATATTGCTCCTTGAACCTTAGCACATACCTCCACGACCTCCGGACTGCAAACCCTGCAAGGTTGGGTCACCGGAAACTGTTCTGAAGCCAAGGACCAGGCCTTTAGTCCTTTTGCCAACTCAAAGATCTCAACCCACCCCGACGAAATGCTGCATACCATACTTGCGACTGGACATTCCGCAGCTTACATGGTACTCATTTCATGGTGAGCCTTCCGTTCCTTGGCGCCAGTACTCCTAATGATGGTACCATCCCCACTACCTCTGTGTGTAGAGGTGGGAGCCTCGACCTCTTCGTGGCCAAAAAGTCGCCAAAGGCAGTCCAGAATCAAGCCCGTTGCGCGGTCTCCGCCTGGCTCGCAGATAAAGGCTGCGGCTAAGGCTTGGGATAAAGTCTCAGACTGACTCAGGATCTGTTCACTGGTGGCGCTCTGCGCCCTAAACTCTAAACCTGTTGGGCCTCCATCTACGCAGCCGATGAGCGTCGGTGAGTCCATCGCCCCGCGCACCTTCCGAATTCATGAGATCGACGACGCGAATGCCGCTCTAAATTCCGGGGCGGGGGGGCATGATGGTGTCGGCCGAGCCTGCAGCTACCTTGTGCACGGCGACGCCATCCAGGTGTGTCTCCAACCTACACTTAGCAAAACACATTCAGCACCCCCGAATATCGAAGCCTGAATGTTTAGAATGGGGTTCTAGGACATACTCTACGATACCTCTACTGGGGAGATAATCCCCTTACTAAGCTTAAATGGGTATAGACTGTGTAGACCAATCCCTAGCACGCAAAGCAAAGCGTGCAATCGAAATTTGCGCAACTCAACTCATCCGGCCCCGGACAGAAGTTACTGAGGTTGTCCTGGGCAGCTTCAATGTGTTTCGTGGGTTTTGGCTAACTCATATAGGGGCCTTAATAAATAGAGTGGGATTTTGGGGCCATTATACTATAATTCTACTAAGGAGCCCCCAAAATAGTGCTTGTAATTTTTTGGGCCCTTTTCTACGGCTTTTCTTTAGGGCATGGGTGTATGCCTCAAAACGGCATTGGCGGTGAGACCCACCCGCTTTGGAGTGCCGACTGCGAGCCATAAGGAGGAAGCGTGCAAGCACGGGGGCGGGGCCTTCGAGGCACACAGTGTGGACTTGAACCTATAGGAGCAACCACGGGATTGAACCAGTGCAAGACAACCCTCAACCTGCGAACTGCGACCCTCTTAGGTGATCCTTCGTCCCTGACTCCATAACCATGACACGTTCTGGGAAATGCAACACCTAACTTAAACAAGCAAGCACGGCTGGACAGCAGGTGCTGATTGCACGACTTTCAAGTTGGTTTAGGGTGTGTCTCTATTCATTTGCTAGATTACTGGCAGGTTTGAGAGCACAACATGGAAGCCTAAACGGCTACCAAAAATGTCCCTTAGGGTTCCTTGATGATACACAAGCATCCTGCGATTTGTAGCCCGAGGCCCCATTCTAATTGTTACGGCCCTAAGGCCCCTGTACTCGAGAAGTATGGCCCCCCTGGGTGTTATGGCACCCATGTTAAACCGATGTTGCGTGGTTAGGGTTTAAGGCCTTTAAGGTTTAAGGCTTGGGATTTAGGGTTAAAGGCTATATCAACTCAAGCTTTGGTACATGTTAATAGGCAGCTGCCAGTACTGTTACTAACAGTACCGTTGCTCACGATAGCTATTATTTGTGCTATTGCAAACGCCATTCCTACTGCTGCTCCTGACCTGCTTCTTCAAATTCGTGTGGTATGACCATTGTTCTCATCGACTCTTATTCTCGGCATCCTTTTACTCTTCTGATTTTGATACGGCTGTTCCTGTTAAGATAGGCTCTTTCCCATCACAGCACGCCCGAGCGCCGTTTCACGAGCTTTTTCATCATCGAGTTCGCTCTTGGCTGCAGTCACCCGACTACTATAAGCAGCGAAGCTAAGCAACGATAAGGGAGCCTATCAACCAAGCGCACCCGCCTGTAGACCATCATGAGACCATGCAGCAACCCTGAAAGCCTTGCCCTAAATTGCTCTGAAGCCATCGTACGGATGCCTTGCCCCTCAGGAGCTGGGTGCATTTAGCTCAGAAGGTTGCCCCCCTGTGGCGAGGAAGAGCGTTTAGGTTGTAGACTGAGGCTTCGTATACTTGGCGGACTCTTTCGGGTGCATTGTAGGATCCGTCATGCCTTGAAAACAAGGTATGTAGACGGACAAAGAGCAGTCAGAACATAGACGAAACACTGCAGCTTGCAACGACAGCGGACCACACTTGCTCAACTCCCGCGCAAGATCTCCAGGGAACCAGCGATTGAATCTAAAGCAGCAGCACACCACGAAGATCTACACTCCAAACTCCAAGCCACCTTGGTACTGGCAACAAACAAGGGAACAGCAACAATCTACTACCCCATGCACGAAAAGAACATGCTTGCCGCTAGCATGAGCAGACTAGCTCATGAATAGCAACCGACAGAAATCATAGGACAACCCCAAAACCATTAATCCGGAAATCTTCAACCTTGGCCCTAACCCAAGCAGCACACAAGGGGGTTTCCGAACCAGGCGACCGTAGTACAGTACCTCAAATAGTAGGCCCCTTCTTATAAGGACCCCAAAATAAGGTACCCCAATTTTCGGAAACTCATACATCCCAAAACCGCCGAGTGCCCAGCCGAGCCCTGCAAGGTCCATTTACGATGTACGACATTCTGGGAACCGACGGCCTCCGCGACACTTTCTGGGCTTTAAAGGCCGCGTGTGTAGAAGGCCATGTTTAGATCGTAGCGTTTCCGGGGTATTCACTACAATGTCGTATACGATCTTGTATTATAGTATTACTACATCTTATACTTTAATGTATTACAATCTACGACAATATCGTACATCGAGATACATCTGAATATACTCTAGGATATTACAACAGAATAACAAACTGCACTAGAATGAAGTGATACATTTTATTGCTTCATGATCAATAACGGATTAAAAGTATACCACAGTATTATACATTAAGATACGTGATGCGGCCTTTTAATTTTTCTGTACAAGACCATAAAGTGAATGTACTGCTTCATGATCATATTCTACCGTCTCAAAAATAAGGCATTAGGTCATAAGATGCCTCTATGCCTGCTATCGACGCTGGTTTTTCATGTTATCGTGGCCCAATCAAAAGTTATCATTTGGCATTGTGGCTATGTTGTCGTGGCCGACACTTGTTCACTACATCCTGGCATGGTACTGATGCGAGACCGGCCCCCAGACAACTTATATCTTCGGAGTATTTAGCCTGCCGCTCATATGTTGAGCTTTGCGAGGCTCTGCAGACCTAGATGTGAGCCTGATCGGAACCGGAACCCTGGGCTGGCCGCAAACTCCACGGTCGATGATATCAACTGAGCCTACAAGACACATCAAGCTAAGAAAGCCAAACAAACCCTAAACCCTAAAGCCCTAACCGCTAAACCCTGAAGGGTAGGAAACCCTCTAAGCTCCTGGACAGAGACCCTCTCAAAGTTCCCGTCCCAAGGGTAGCGAAACTCGGAACATAGGGAATAAGATTCAGACAATGAGGGGGCTCCAAGATCTTTCACAAATGAGGGGCCACTCATGTCTGGAAACCATCGCAACTGACAATAGAGGGGTCTCAATCATCAGAATGGGGTTTTGGGCCATATTCTAGTATACTTACAGTAGCATATGGAACCCAAGATAATTTGTTGATGTTGGTACGTAATTGTTGGTATTGTATCGTATAGCTATCGCATATACGGCTCTGAGACGCAGGCGGAACCCCAGGGCTTTGACAGGACTCGCCTTGGTGGAGTCTCTGATGGCTCGCTCTCACTTCTAGGGATGTTGAATAGAATAGGGCTTGTATCAACTCGATCTATGGGGTTTGGGGAGTTTACGTCTTAAGGCTTTGGGTTTGGGGTTTAGGGTGTAGCGGGATTCGGGATTGGGGTTTAGGGCTCTGTGAAACGCCGAGGGCTTACACTGGTTCACTGCTATGGGCTGTGGACTGGGTCTGTGGGTCTGCACTTCTGCAGCTTGACATTTGGGGGTTTAGGGTTTTTGGGGCACGGTCTCTTAACTACAATGTTGGTGATTGTTTTGAAGGTGTTAGGGTCTCCAGTGTGTCTAAGCTGGAGCGATCTTGGAGTACCAGAACTCGGCTCGAGTGGACAGATTCCAGAAGTTCATGGGAAGGGTATAGATAGGTGTAAGGCATACTGCGGCGCTCATGTAGTACCTCCGTCAGCGAACATGAGACGTCCGAAGTTCGGAGGTCAACAACGCCACGCCTGGCGATAGAAACACCCCAGGCGGACGGGCCCAGAACTCCGCTTCACAGAAGGTTCCCTGAACTCCCGCTTAGATAAACCCGATCGATGCTGTTTGGGTGCGCCAGACCAGGCAGCACAGCGCGCTGGGACATCTCCATGGCACGACCGTGTTGCCTGCACGAGAAACTAAAGTCAGAGTCACTACATGGTTCTACAAGTGGGGAGGTAGGGCTGATGTTTCAAGACCTTGTTGCTCTTGTAGAACAATCCAAAGGGCAACTTAGCAACGGGGTTCTTCGGCCAAGGTTCGGAGCCCGATACTCTCAACCCAAAACATGACCCAATCGCCCGCAACCTTCCCTGAACCCCTCTGCAGCCTGTCATGGAGGGGGGACTCGAAATGCGCCAGCTCGTGTGCAAAGCTGACGGCCCAGAAGCTCACAGCCTGCACTGTGGTTTGGAGTTCAGGGTGTACTACTACTACTACTACTACTACTACTACTACTACTACTACCACGACTACTACTACTACTACTACTACTACTACTACTACTACTACTACTACTACTACTACTACTACTACTACTACTACTACTACTACTACTACTAGTACTACTAGTACTACTAGTTCTACTACTCATACTACCAATTCTACCCGTAGGGCGTGTGCTTGAAGGGTCATGGCTTGTGCTTTCGGTGTGCGCATATCGGTTTAGAAACTTACTCAAGTGCAATGACAACTTCGCGGGTAGGTCCCTTGATCCCTGATTCAGGCGGTTGGACGTACATGAACCTCGCAGCATTAAGGCTGCAAGGCTCTTTCAGGTACAGCGGTTGTAGGCTTTGGAGCTCTTGGGTTTATGGACTCTGGGAGATCTAGAGCTGTGAGCTGGGATCGTGTTAGCAGTTCAGCTGACTAACTTGATCCCACTTTCATCTCCTGTAAGCGCCGGAAGTCTGCGAAGCTTGAGCCTCTTTGGCCCTGGTTTTTGTCCATAAGTTGAAGCTGAGGCCTAGATCTAGGTGATGTTCCGCCCATGCGTTCCACGCAACGAGAATATCTTGATCTTTGCAGTGATGGCATTGTCAGTCCTCGGAAATGCCTATGCAGTCACGACTGTCGTCTCGGAATGTGCATTCCCAGGCTTCATGGGATTACGAACCATAGATTCCGCAGGTGGTGCTATGCGGGGCCATGTTA